TGTTTGTTGTTTAATTTGATTTAAGTTGAAACAAGACATCAACTCTTCGAGTGCTACTAAATATCTAGTATTCTCATAGCTTATACGTGTATTGATCTATCACTAATTTGTTTATCAGTTATTTTGTTATTGTTTTATAATATTATTATCTATGATATGAACTCTTAAATATATGTGATAATTAAATGCCGCTATTGATTAAGCTCGCGATCCGCGATCGACTATATAGACACCAATTGATCATTACCACCTGCTATATTCTATTATTACCTTTCCGGTACTGTCTCTCGGCTTGAAATGTCGCGCGCGTGCGGAGGCGTGCGCCAAGATCACGGGTGATGACGATGGCATCGATCGTCGAAGCTGCCTCTTGACTGCGGGTGAGCGTGCAGCTTATACTGAAGCGCGGTAGATCGCACCAACATTTCAGCAATGCAACGCCAAGAGTTGCCGTGCGAAGCACAGACTTCGATTTGGCGTACGTACGAGCAACTACTAGCGGCTACAGTTACTAGATAGGATCGGAACTTCGTTTTCTCGTGACAAAGCTAACCCCCACGCTTGTTCGTTCAATTAGTTTCCAGATAAATTGAAAAATCTATACTCCAAAGACGTTTGCATTGAGCAGCAACCGTGTACTAGTTCACTGACCCAACGACAACGACGATGACGACGCTGATATCCGCCGAACCACCCGGCAACCCCAACCCCAACCACCCCGGTCGATTGGGACACACGTAGAATCACCGCTTGTTACCGCGCTGGATAACGTGGAGGCACGTACGCCAGCCCCAGCGGGCACACCACGGCGTCAAATCTCGGTGTAGTACTACTACTCAGCATCAGCTCATCATGACCTGATCGTGGCCATCGGATTACTTATATTTAATTAATTGCTCGACAGATGTAATATCCATCGGAAAGCAACGTGCAGCTGCAGTGACACGCCGTCAAACGACCGAAGTCCACTACAAAACATACAGATCGGTGGCGGTGTAACCTGGTTACCAGGATGATAGTGGAGCGCATGCTTGTCAGTTGTCACCATGACTTTGTCCTTTTTCCTTTCAAGAAAGCTGAGGGACGGTTCGCCATTGATTAATACCGTTCATTCAAAAAAAAACAATAATGACATATATTGTACGTAGTTTCATTACATGTATTGTAATCATATCCGATTAATTATATATCCACCCATCAAACAAACGAGAAAATTAAAAACGTTGAAATGAAGTGCGTTCATTTATGTATATCCATCTGGCAACTGCAATTATATTTTTTTTCTCGAGTATACAAGCCAGACACACTAGCACGCGCACACCACACACTCACACATCCATCTATATATATAGTTGTACATATCCTAGCACAAGTCTAGCTAAAGAGATTAAAGGCCGGCGAATACCCATGTAAGTTTAGGTCTAGTTTGAATTCGGATAAACATATTCTAACACAAGGTTTGATGAATTAACTTAACTATCAAAATCCAATAAATTAATGAAACATACAAGTGACTACTACAATACTACTTACTGCCTCACGTTCCACAATATTAGAATTTCCAAGTTGTTAAGCAAAAACCATGGTAAAGGGAAGAGACGATTATCTTTTAGTCACTTTGATCAGTGGTCAAATTTTAAATCACTTATATTCTCTTTCCAAACATCTCAAATTGATTAGCCAAAAATGTATAAATTAAATTTTCGTATATTGAAATCAGTGCTCCATAGCTGTTCATATGGTAATACACAAATTTTGCGTCCTATAAATACTTATAGTTTAGAACGGATAGGGCATGCTAATTAAGATCTCTTAAATATAAGTTCGAAGGAGATTAACTAAAGTCAAAACTCATTAGAGTGATACAACATCCGTCGTCACAAAGTGTCAGCAATGTTAGGTGCGTTCGAATGTGATGTTTGACTGGGATTTTTCGTGATACGTAAAACAAGACAAACCATTTATTATTATAAACTTAATTAATTGAGTATTAATTATTATAAATTTTTAGTTTTTTCTAAGAAACTATTTTAAAAAACACACCACTTAATTAGTACTAGTTTGGAAAACATGCTAACGGTTAATGAAGAGTATACGAATCTAAACTCACTTTATAACTCCATCTTACCCAACTTAATTAGAGCAAGGATAATAATAGAGCTCACTTCCTACTATTAGCTAATCTTAAAGCCAACACGTATAATAAATTAGCTATAAGTTTGGCTACAATTTTCTTCTCATCTCGATATGTCTCACTTATATATTATTAATTGTATTTGTCTTGAAGCTTGTGTTAAGCTAGCTCTTGCATGAGAGCCAACACCCTTAACTTTTTGTTATATCTCTCCTCCATATAAGCTTATAGTAGGTTTATAGCTCACTATTATACTTGCTCTTATGAAGGACAGGGGAATGATAAATAGGGTGTGAGCTGAAAAGGCATATCTATTTGGGTTATGGTTTCCCCTAGTTGAAACAACTAAAATATAAGTACTTTGGTTAAACTCAATCCAAGTGATTGAGGCCTGAAGAACGACATTCAGGGTGCAGTTATAATTTTTTTTCCCTATCTCCCTGTCTATAAAGCAGCTTTACTTTAGGATCGGACTAGTAATAATCAACTTTAGAGCTCAGTGTATATATCTCCAAAACATGACGACGTCAAAACTATATGTGTTGATGTCTTTGTCGTAGTTGTTCTCACTCTTCCAAGTGAGAGTCCTTGCAATGTGCAACTCCGTTTTTATGTCAGATATGATGGAAAAGACATGCCTTTACCTTAAATAAATCTCCGCAAATGTAACACGATGATGGGCAAGTCCAACAACAAATTTCAGCTTTCCCCTATCACTTGGTTAGGTCAATAGAAGCTTCTAGACCAGATCGCCTCTATGTGAAACTATGGTGAATTTGGTTTACTTTTGCTAATACATTGCATAAGGATTATCATGCAAGTGCTGTGTAAATACATTACATTCTATTCCATTATCTAAAAGAATGCATCGCATTTCTTTTCTTCTTCGTACTTCACACGAAAACAAGGATTCTTGGATGAAATATTCTGGTTGCTCTCGAAGTTACTCGCCGTCATAGGCTCCAGCTTATAAATTTATGGATTATTCCTGCCACAAACTTTAAATTATGATTTTTCTATATATATTCTGCATTAATATAATATTGCTTAGATAACTTGTTCTAAAATACTTTTATGTTTATAATATGTAATATTTAATTAATCCTTATAAGCATTAATTATCCATATATCCAATCATTTATAAAGAACAAAAACCATAATCAAATGCTGAGAGATATATATCATATTTTTCGTATAAAACTTATTACCTCTAGATAAGTACCTCGAGATTCTAAAATTTGTGTGTAAAATTTTAGTACCTACAAATATTTTCTCAAACGTAAAATTTGTCATTTTCTAAACATTATAATTCAGAACTATTTGACTACATATATGCACCAAGAGGTTTCTTATTCCAAGTATATACATGTTGAATTGTGCGTGTGCATATAAAAGTTTGTGTACATTCTTGACCATATGAATACTTCTTACCTTTCAAATCAATATATTGAACGCAAAAACGGAAAAACCTAACAATTTTATTTCCTAAAAAATACAGTAGTCAAGCAGCTGCTATAGTCAGCAAATATAGTTAGCTACTTTCATCGCTCACATAACTCATCAATAGATTATACACAAAGTTATCTCCTCAATAGACCGAGGATATAGATCATACTGTTGTCAGTTGACAAGGTTGGCAGCCACTCTTTTCTCATTTAGGAGTATATGTAAGATTAGTCTTGCCTAACATTCTCCAGTCATACGCATTCCAATTAATATTGTGTCTTACTCCCTCCGTTCCGTAAAAACAAATATAGTACGTGATATATAACTTTGTAGTATTACGAAATATTAGGAGCAATCGTTTCTATTTTGGCTTGTAATTAGAGGGCGTTTAATTAGCTACTCAAAAAAAATACTCCATTTGTTTTAAAAAAACAAATATAGTAGCTTGATTTATAATTTACAAGGATCGAAATTAAGGAGCAATGGTTTCTATTTTGACTTGTAACCAAAGGACGTTTAATTGGTCATAAAAAATACTCGAGATATAACCTATTTTATTACCGTGAATTTAGACAGAGATAGAAAAACCATTGCTCCTTCTTATCCTTGTAATAAATCAAACTATAAATGAACCCAATCCCTTAACAACATGTAGTACCATCATAAATATATCATTATAATCATGGAATGACGGAATATGTTAGTACATAATCTTAATAGCCAACATTTACTGAGCCATCTTTATGTCATATAGTACACTAATCATCTACTAAAGAAAAGAAGAACAATAATTATTGCTATTTTAATTCCTTACAATATTTTTGGCCACCGATTGAAAGTGTGTTTATTTGACCCATTTTGTCATCCTAAATTAGTTTGGTAGTCACAGTCTTCAATCAACCCGAGTTATAATTCCTTGTCCTCTCCTCCACCGTAACCCGAACAGCTCTTCTTGTCAAGGTTAACAAAACCGTATGATTATCGTACGTTATAGTGGTTATCACGTACGGTAATCTTTTCAACTTTTTAAAAATACGGTATACCACGCTGTAAGCCTGTAACGTCGTCCCAAACAATTTGGCGAAGCTAGGTGAGGTGACGCTAAACCCCGCTTCTTGCCGACCTGAGAGTCGGAGAGTCTCGGCACGACACGACGAGAACGATCTGATAAACACTCGACCGCAACGTCCCCACACGAAAAACGTCCAGGGTCGGGTGGGGTGAACCGTGTCCACCCACCAAACTCCACCAGTCCACCCCCATCCATCCCTGACTGTCCGACTCCGAGCCCATCGCTTGCGGTCGCCATCCCACCAACCACCCCCCTCGCCCCACGCGGCCCCCACCCGTCGCCTTCTCCAACGAACGACGCCACACGGGGTGGAAGAAAACCCGAAAAATAGGAGGAAACCGACGGGGGAAAGCCGCAAAAAAAAAAAAAGTAGAGAGAAAACCAGAGTGAGCTGCGCAGCTCATGACACATGATGGTGAGCTACGCCTACGCGAGCTCGGAGCTCAGCTCTACCGCCCCCGCACGCCGCCGCCGCCCGTCGCCTATAAAAGCCGCTCCACCCCCAACGAGCCCACCAGCTGCTCTCCACCAAGAGCTGCTCCGCCCCCCTACCCCGCAACCCGTTGCTTTGTGCCGCGCCTCGCTTTGGTCTTCATCCGCCTCAGATCTGATTCGTTCTAGGTTGGTCTGGTGAGTGGTGCTTGGCGTTTTTGTTTTTTGTTTTTTTTTTGTTTTCGTGTGTGAGGGGATTGGGATGCTCACGAGGTGTTTGGTGGTATGCGTGGGCGGCGGCGGCGGCGGTGGCAGGGGAAGATGGCGATCACGGTGAGGCGGTCGACGATGGTGCGGCCGGCGTGGGAGACGCCGCGGGTGCGGCTGTGGAACTCGAACCTCGACCTCGTGGTGCCGCGGTTCCACACCCCAAGCGTCTACTTCTACCGCCGGGGCCCCGAGGGAGGGGGCGCGCCGGAGGGGTTCTTCGACGGGGAGCGGATGCGGCGCGCGCTGGCGGAGGCGCTCGTGCCGTTCTACCCGATGGCCGGGCGGCTCGCGCGCGACGAGGACGGGAGGGTCGAGATCGACTGCAACGGGGAAGGGGTGCTCTTCGTCGAGGCCGACGCGCCCGACGCCTCCGTCGATGACTACGGCGACTTCGCGCCCACCATGGAGCTCAAGCGCCTCATCCCTGCCGTTGATTACACCGACGACATCTCCTCCTTCTCGCTCCTCGTGCTCCAGGTGAGCTCCAAATTTCTAGTAGCAAGTACAGTTAGATCCAAGCACAAAATCAAACGAGGTTAGAGATAGCTTTCTGGAAGTGGAGCGCAAACAATGCTTTGCAACTGCAGCTGACAACTAAGTTTGGCAGTAAGCCATTAATTATAACATTTTGGGGCTGATTGTATAGCTAGGTCCCATGTTGGCTGTTGCACTAAATGTTTGGGGCTGAGCTTAGCGGGTCACCTACTCTTTGGTTGGCTTTAATTAGCTGCATCAGATGTACGGTTCCATCCAGGCAGTTGATGTCTTTCTGTTGTGGGCGGGGTCTATTTTTGGTTTGATGTTTATGCTTATTGTGATAGTTTAGTAGGGGTTGTGTAGGAATTATAGAATTTTAAAACACCATAATTCAATGCCAATAATCAGTATCCACTAAAAAAATGAAGTATATGCTTCACCTTGACTGTGTCAAAGCCTAGACAATTTTGATTTGTCCAGAGTGATTGTATCATATAGATTTGAAATGTGTTTTTCACGTTGGACTCCACATTGTCTTCTATGTTATACCATCTAAAAGTGGCAGCAGCGTGCATCAATTTGTGCATTAAGAGTAACAGACAACAAAAGCCACCGGTCGTGCGGGTACATCCCTGCCAAGCTTGAGAAACTAATACTAGAGGACTACTTTATTAAGTAGCCCTTTAATTTGCTCCGGTATATCCCTATATCCTGTCCTGAACTACTACACTTATGGATTCATGACCTACAGATATTTGAACCGAGAAGCTTATCCCATTTGGAGCTTTTTAACATTGGATTTGCACGTTTAACCCTGCTAGCCTTTGTTGAATACTTAAAACTTTGTGGCGATGACTATATATATTGCTTTGATCACTTAAGCATAAGTGCCGATCATTCCATGTCATTCCATGTTACTGCTGATATTTAAGTGTTTTGATGCCAGAAGTAATGGTTAGATTGCATTAAAACTTGTTATTAGATGGGAACAATTTTAGTAGGCACTAATGTTTTCTTCTAGGGCCTCTATAGCTCCCATATATGGTTGATTGGTCAATCTCATTGTTCCAAAATGTCAACCATTTGCCCCATGATGTAGACAGGAGGGGACTTAATTGGGTGTGATATTAACATTTTGTGATAGTTAGTCTTTGACTGACAATAGCTTTCTTTTGCCTGTTCGATAACTGGAGCCCTTGTCCTGTAGAGCCTCATGAGCTGTTTATCCTTTGATGGATACATCATTCAGGTTGCACGTTCAATTTTGTCCTAAATGAAACATGTCTGATCTGCTCACCTTCTGGTTATCCATCATCAGCTGCCCTTTCATGCTGGAATTCTTGTACAATAAATCAATTAGGTTGAATGAATCATTAGTCTTACGTGAGACATACTTGACTTTGAAATAATATGGTACAGTGTACAACACAACGTGTTAATGGAAAGAATTTATTTGCTTGTAAGTCTAGTAGACCTTAGGAGCTAAAATTTTATTTAGAAAATTGTTCTAATAATTGAGGCACATGCTAATACTTTTTCCTTGCAACTGAAAATTTGTGCATGCACTTTCCATAACATAAAACTGGGCCAAAATTTACAAGGTTACAAACCATAGTTTCATTCAATTTTTTTACTCGCTGATATGTCAGCAACCATGACTCTGAGTAGTCTTGGTGCACTGCATGTTGGTTGGTATGGATCTGAGTGTTAACTGGAGCATGTTCCATCTGACAAGTTTTTGCTTATAATAAGTTAATAGATAGTACTGTTTTGCGCCATATTGTTCCAATTTTAGAAGTTATTTAAACCTTGATTTCCTCTCTTTTATCAACTCTAGTTGTTGCTAACTTGTTGTAACACCTGTTTAGATGGCAAGCTGACTTCAATTGTGGTGTGCATGCATCAACCTTCTTTTTTTTGTGGGTTGGGTTGACCATGGAATGTTGCATCCTGAGCTAGACAAGCCATTTGCATGTAGTCCTTCTCTGTTAGTTGCCAATAAAATGTCTTGCAGCTGTGGCAAAGGTACTTTTGCATTGCTTGGTAGAGTGCTTGTCAATTGTTGGATCCTAACACCTTGTTAATGTGGATCTGAGGCCTGCGAATATCATGCATCCCAACCCCAAAAAATTGTAGAGAAAATTATGTTACTCTTTATCTAGTGCACAATTGGAGCATCTCTTGTCATCTGTAGTTGATTCCTTCTATGTTCATCAGAAACTTGGTGTATTGCCTGTCTTAATGGCTCTTCCTAGTAAAAGCCTCTAAGATCCTGTCCTTGCGATATTATATTCGGTGATGCACTTGCAGCACATATACTCAGATCTTGCATGTGCATATGTTTTAAAATTCACATATGTAAAGCATCATCGAACATTTCTTGAGTGGCCATAAATTCTACCATGCCATAGCAGTCACTGTCAAACACACAATGCTATGCATTCATGTCCATGGACAATTCAGCTATTTCATGCATCAGCATATGTCTGTTTTCATTCTAGAATCACTTTGCCATCTCATCTTCTGGTTCGTGGCCTTGATTTTAGTTGTGTTAGTTTTATTTATTTTGTTATCCGTAGCCTCATTGGTTAGCTGATTATGCTAGAAAAAAAACTATATCAACATGATACCATATTGGTGATTCAACACTTAACTGATGTGACATAGACCAACTTTCAATGCCCCCTACCATATATGTATTTGGTCTACCATTAATAGTAAGCACGACAGTAGTCAAAGGACCAAACTTATCAGTAAGGGAGATCACACATGTTCCTATAACAAAGCGGAATCTAATATGCATGCATATAGTATTATCCAATTATTACTATCATGTTGTCTTGCAATTTCATTTAGTCATCAATACACATTGTTTACCTCATGAACTATGTCCGTATTTGTGATTAGGTTTAAACAATTCTGGCTCACATTTATTAATTATAAAATTGCATGCCTGCATGTTTCATGTTAATTAATGATAAGGCATAGTACATGCTTGCGCTAGTTTTTGTATCACTTGTACTCTTGTTTGAAAATTTTTTTTTGGCTGATGGCAGATTCTATGGCACATTTTTTATGGTAGAATCAGAAATCGGGAATTTGATGGAGGATGTTGTCATTTGTATGCATTATTACATGACAAAAGTTTGTATAGAAGCACAAATTTGAGTTTATATGTTTATGGTTGCAGTCAACAATTTTGGTGGCAATGCTTATGTCTTGCATCCTAAGTCTTGGAAATTCAATTAGAAATCCAGTACCCAGTATAGTATGGAACTGAGTTTCAGTTCAACAATATAACTTGCAGATTTTTGAAGAGTTGTGTCAGTACATAGTTAATTTCTGACATCCAGAATGTTTATGCCTATTGGTGTAAGCAACTTCTATCTGTGTCATTCATGTACTATCTATCTCAATACTTGTAATGTTGCTATAATGGTATATGCAGTTGAAAATATGAATTATATTTATCTTAGTAAGTGAAACATTTCAAGACACTGATTCTCCTTGGTTTTGTTATTTTGTTCCAGGTGACCTACTTCAAGTGCGGAGGTGTCTCCCTTGGAGTTGGTATGCAACACCATGTGGCGGATGGCATGTCCGGTTTGCACTTTATTAACTCATGGTCTGACCTCTGCCGAGGAACTCAAATTGCCATCATGCCCTTCATTGACCGCACTCTCCTACGAGCCCGAGATCCACCAACTCCATCATACCCACATGTTGAGTACCAGCCTGCCCCAGCCATGCTGTCCTCCGTACCCCAGTCTGTTACTGCTAATAAGACAACACCACCTCCAACTGCTGTGGACATTTTCAAGCTTACCCGCTCAGACCTTGGTCGACTGCGTTCGCAGCTCCCATCAGGAGAAGGTGCACCACGTTTCAGCACATATGCAGTTCTTGCTGCACATGTCTGGCGATGCGTATCTCTTGCACGTGGCCTGCCTTCTGAACAGCCCACTAAGCTGTATTGTGCCACTGATGGGCGACAACGGTTGCAGCCTCCACTTCCAGAAGGTTACTTTGGGAATGTCATTTTCACCGCCACTCCACTTGCTGAGGCAGGCAAGGTGACCAGTGGGCTGGCAGATGGAGCAGCAGTCATCCAAGAGGCGCTAGATAGGATGAACGATAGCTACTGCCGCTCAGCATTGGACTACCTGGAGCTGCAGCCTGATTTATCAGCATTGGTCCGTGGAGCACACACTTTCCGGTGTCCGAACCTCGGGCTCACCAGCTGGGTGCGCTTGCCAATTCATGATGCAGATTTTGGATGGGGAAGACCAGTGTTCATGGGTCCTGGTGGCATCGCCTATGAAGGGCTGGCGTTTGTCCTCCCAAGCGCGAACAAGGATGGTAGCCTATCCATAGCCATCTCATTGCAGGCTGAGCACATGGAGAAGTTCAGGAAGCTGATCTTCGAGGTGTAAGCAGACTACTTATGTTATGTCAGGGAGAAGTTGTAGAGCTAGAGTTCTCAGGTAAAATACCTTCAAGTGAGTCATGGGGGCTATGCTCTTGCTCCTGTTGAGCAAATTGTCTGGCCACGTTCTCTTGTACCTTAGCTTGCAAGGATATTTGGCCATCACCACAGCCGTGTGACGATGTGAGCAACCAATAATGAGCTGTTTTTTTGTTTTCGTTTAGGATAGGAATCAACAATGAAGAAAAGGTGCTGTATTCTGTGAAACTACATGGCAGTGTTGTTCTTACCAAAAATACATGACAAGTGAATTGGGTCAAGTTATTGCCTGTTGTAGCTCAAGTCGATAGATGAACATCATTGTACAGTACGAATGTACGATACGACTATAACAGCCTGATTGCCTATGAACTGCAAGTAAATGCATGTGAATAACTGAATATGTGATCGTGACTGATATTTGTTGCTTGATTGCCTCCATCAAACGTATATGTGATCTTGACTGATATTCGTTGCTTGATTGCTTCCATCAAAGCTGCATTCCTGGTGTTTTTCGTTGCAACCACTCCTTGCCATGGATATCCAGGCTTGTTTATTTGCAGGCCTCGCCCATGGCGGCGATTCATGTCCTCTCTCTCACACGCATACTACATGTTCTCTGACCTTTTGTTCCAAAGAGAGGAAAAAAACAGCGGAGAAGCATCCGTTCCGTTTCTAGTGTTTGGGTGGGGGTAGGCCTACTGCGACTGCCATGTGGGACACACACGACAAGGCGACCCCCACATCCTCCATGCCGTTCAAAACTTCGCGACACGAAGCCCGAGGAGCAGGGGGTTTCGTCCTCCTTCGCCGCCTCCGCCTCCCCCCGAAACCAGGCCACCTCCCTCACTCACCGCCTCTCCCCCCACTCCCCCTCTCGATACACGATCAGGCGACACGCCGTCCCCTCCTTCCTTACCCCGCGTAGCCTAGTGGCTTCTCATCGCCACCGCCGCCGCCATGCCGTCCGCGCCCCGCTCTCCGCGATTTCAAACGTTCCTCGTCCGGTGCGCCGCCGACGGGGCGGCGGACGTGGGATGCTGCCTCAACGGTCAACCCTGCGGATTGCCGGTGCTGGGCCGCCGTGGGCGGCGCCGTTGCGCGCTGGCCTCCCGCGGCCGCGGCCTCGGAGGCTCTCCCTGATACCCCGCGCTCCTCCGACGCACCCGTGTGCTGCGGCCCTCGTGCGCTGCTTCAAGTGTGAAATCGGTGAGCACATCATAACTCCCCAAATCGCATTTCAGATGAACTCGAGAGGAAAATTTCAACATTATTTAAATTCGTTGCCTGATTACGCCGGCTTCTCGATGGGAATTTTTGCAGATACATTTGCGTGTGCCACCCCTTCTTGCTAGACGTTTCCTAGTGTTATTGCTACTAGTAGATTCAAGTGAGATCAATCGCCATAATTGCTCATTTATTCAACTCAAATGTGAAAATGCTGAAAGTCTATTTAACACCAAAAATAATAATCTTAGAAAAAAACAAACTCGAGATATTTTCTCGTGCTTCTAGAGTATTCCTCCAGAAATAAATTAAAAAATACGGAGAAAATTAACCTTGGATGGGGAATGAGGTACAGCTAGCACAGTGAAAAAGAAGGCTAGGTTGTGCAGTGCAGGCTACAGTGAACTTAGATATGCGTACGTGCATCAAGCCAACGTGACAAAGCCCATCTGAATATGCTCCTATTCTTTCTATGCTTAGTTACGTCATCAAGCTATTAATTGCGCCTACCACCGAAAGACTAACCAGGGGGTTTAGCAATTAACCAGGGGGTTTAGCTATTAATTGCGCCTACCACCGAATATGCACATATTCTTTCTAAGAGTATGTACAATAGCATGCTATAAGCCGGCTGTAACCATATATCGAGAAGAAAAAAGAAGAGAGATAAAAAAGCGAGCTACAGATTTGTAGCCGGCTGCAACACGGACTTTAAGATGTTATGTGTGTATGAGAGGTGGGACCGTGTATTAATGGTGCAGTATATTTTTATAGTTAACTATTGTATAAATAGACTATTAGATTGGCTATAGATATTTTGGAGCCAGTAGTTGGCTATATATTGACCTCGCTCTTAACCCCCTACGAATCCTTCTTGTTTCTTGAGATTTTGTTCGTGCACTGCTGCATTGGATTCTGTAGTTACCAGTAACAAACTTCCTAATGTGGTCAGGTTAAACCCCTCGCGAAAGGCGCGGGCGGGGGGCTTGTCCGGACGCGCGCGAGCCGAGCCGGAGCCGAAGCCGTTGCTGGTCCGAGCCGAGCCGAGCCGAGCCGAGCGAGGCGTGGGGGGTGGTTGGTGTTGGTGGTGACGCCCGGGTAGTATAAGTGAAGGCCCCCTCAGTTGCATGGAAGGCGACCGCTTGCGCTAAGGCCAAAGGTGAGGAGATCTCTCCCTCTCCCTCTCTCTCTCTCTCTCCTCCCATCTCTCCCTCTCCTCTGAATTTTTGTTCGTTTGCTTCCACCGATCAGAAGCCTCTCTTCCTCGCGGGGGAACCTGTGAATTCTCGATCTATCGCCTCTCTTCGTGCTTCGATTTCGCTGTGCTTGATCTCGCTCTCTCGCTCGCTCTTGCGGCCGCGCGTCTGTGTTCTACTGGTGTTGGTAACGTCGATCGCTCGCTCGCTCGCTGCTGGTGTTTCTCGTCATCGTGCGGTGGGGGGTGCGTGCGTGCGTGCTACTGGTTTGGTAAGCCCGCTCCGTTCTTGTCGTCGTGTGTGTTCTTGCGTGCTTCTGACCTTCTGTTGCTGATGCTGACGATGGTTTTCTTCTCGGGTTTTGGTGCCGTTGGTTTTGCTGCTACTGGTGGTGGTTTTCGTGGATGGGATGAACTGAAGTTGCCGGAGGCGGACGAGCACCGCGATTCCATGGTGATCTCCGTTCGCCTCCGTGTTTGCAACTCCCACGGGTTTTGCTCGTTCCACCGTCGGATCGAAGCGTCCTCTTGTCGTTCTCGTCTACTAGATCCCTTCGGTGTACGGTGCAAGAGCTTCGTCTCTCTTTTTTAGGCCCTTCAGTCTCCAAAAAGTTCGTGAGATTTTTACCCTTCTTAGATCTTCTGGTGTTCGCGTGTTCATTATCGTTGCTTTTTTGGCTGCTGTTTCAGTCGTGATCGGTGGTTTTCTTGGAGGAGGCTGCATCCGAGTCTTCTCGGAATTAACTCGGTGATTTTTTGTTCTTCCCACCATCTGTTCCTGGATGCATCTCTTTCTTTTTTTCTTTTTTTTTTACGGTGCTACACAGATGCGCAATGGCAACACGAGGGTGGCTGCTTCGTCTCGATCTCTCGCTTGTTTCCATTTGAAACTATTTTCTGTTCCGGAATGTTCGAGATCGCCATTTCTTCATGTGGGTTTAGGGTTTTAGAACGTGTAGGCTTGTAACATCCTTTCCTATCGTTGGGCTTCTGCTGCGATTGCTGGTCTTGTTGGGCGAGCGGAAACTGGATGTCTCTGCCCGTGCTTTTTACCTGTTATTTGGTTTAATTTTCTGCTTTTTATATGCCAAATCTTCATTAGGATTCCCTTCTTGCTGACCGAGTTATTTTTTTTCCTGCAAGATCGACGCGTTCTGTTTATTAAGCGTATTAACACTTTTCCATTTTGTTGCCAGTTTCCGGGGGTTGTGCACTACTGCAGTGTTACATTGTTCGGCAGTTCGTTTTTGGTAAACATCTATCCATCCTTAGACCATAGTAGAACTGAAATTTGGGACCGCAGAGTTTTCTCCCCCTCGTTTATTCTTGTTCTTGAATGCTAGATTCGAGAATCTATGATTATACTTCCTTTTAATCAATTCCCTAAATTAGTCGTTACCATATGTTTTGATTATACTTCCTCGAGTGAATTTCTTCATTCTTCAGATTGTCTGGTTTATTCTTGCAAGATGATTGTAATCTTGTCTACTTTTTGTATGATGCAGTTGTGTTTGTTTTCACTTCCCTCTGTTGGAATGCACTGATAAAATTTACTATTATGCTGTGCTAAATTTCTATGTATTTTTTACTGTATCATCATAGTTCACCTTAGGTCTAACTTTCATGCTAGATCTTGGGTTCAAAATGATGGCATTTGTGTATCTTGAAGATTATAAATGCAAGATATAAAAAGAAGAAAAAAAAATCCTGGAATGCATCCGTGGGACCTGTGTCTACCAAAAAATTGCTTTGTATGGACTGCTTTAGAGTCATGAGTCATCTTTGCTTGCTCGCTCATCAACAATATGTGTCCAAAATATTGGAGTTATGCTTTGAGCTTTGCAAACAGTGGCATACCGCGTATCTATTTTTTGTTTCTGCAAAATGCAGTTCAAATTCAAGCTAGTTAACCTTTCTATTCATTCTGCCCCAATAATTCCTATTCGTATTTTCACCGTTACTTCTAGTATTTAGGTGATCTGTAACCTGATCTTAGTATGGAATTTAAGGATATTTTATTCCTATTATTATGTTTCAGCGAAGCAGACTCCGCTATGGCTCAACCTCAACGTCCCCTCCAAGTTCCTGACATAACAAAGTCTACTCATTCTGGAGGGAACACTGTACTTGCTTATGCTTCATCAGCTATGCAAGGATACCGTAGCACCATGGAAGATGCCGTGAGTAACCTTCCAGTCTTTTGTAGGAGAAATGGGGGGTTGGCTTGCAACTAATTTTGGTGAAATTCTAAAGGCTAATTTGTGTACTCTTCTATTCTCCAGCATGCGACTATTGAAAATCTTGATGCTCTCACTAACACGTCATTCTTTGGTGTTTATGATGGCCATGGAGGTTTGATCTTCAATCTCATCCCCATATAAACAGCAAAATTCAAATTTATTGTACTGATTGAGGGGATACTCCCTTCTCATTGTATAGGGCATATTTTCTTTAGGCATGCTCATTCTTCTTTAAAGCTACACTTTCAACTTTGATGTCTCACATAATATATTGTTCATAGCTACAAAACCAATATGACGAGAAAGCACTTTGACTAATTGTTGGTCAAAACCTACAAAGTTTGACTTCTTGAAAAGTATGCTCACCCTACATAGTACATAATGTGGGGGGAGGACTAGGCTAGTAAAATTTATAATATCCATGTACATGCAACCTTCATTGCACTCAAGAGTAATGTTGCGCAATGGTTATGTAAGATGAGTATCTCAATTATTTAACTTCTATTTCAGGTTCTGCTGTAGCAAGGTATTGCGCAAATCACTTGCACAATAAGGTTTTGGAGCAAGAAGATTTTAGCAGTAACCTTGCTAATGCATTGAGGCAATCCTTTTTCAGGTTGTTTTTACAGCTAGTTAATCCATTAACTCTATATTTTGATGCCACATGAGTTCTTTTTATAAGAATGTAAGAAACAACCATCGCCACATTGGTGTTCATTATTGCACCTGTTGTGCATCCAAATATAAAATATGTAATCCTTTTTCCTCCTTAATTGTTGCAGAATGGATGAGATGTTGAGAAATCAGGCGGCAAGCAAGGAATTAACTGAGTATGGTAGTGGCAACGAGTATTGGAGAACAGCTGGGCGGTCTTGGCTCAGATGTGCTCCTTGTGTGCTGGTAATATCTCAATTGTTCTGTAGATCGAGAATCTAAGGTTTTTATATTTTTGTTATTTACTTCAAGTTGGTTTTTGTTTTCCAGGGACCTGTCTATTGTGGACCATTAGCAGAAGGATGTACAGCATGTGTGGTTCTCATTAGAAATACGCAGATCGTTGTTGGAAATGCTGGTGATGCTCGTTGTGTAATCTCAAGGAATGGTCAGGTGCAGTGACTACTTTTGTTTTCAAATGCCTAGCTGGTATTTCCTTTTTCATAATGGATGATGCACTCTAATGTCACCTAACTATTCTGTTTATTTCTGTTGTATTCGAAGGCAATCGCTTTATCCAATGATCACAAACCAAATTTTCCGGAGGAAACTCAGAGAATAGTAGCTGCAGGAGGTTCCGTATCTTTTTCTAGGGGTTCCCACCGTGTTAATAATGGAATTGCAGTATCAAGAGCAATCGGTATAGCTTATATGTTTGTTGGCGGTGTGAGGTCATACACAAACAATTTAATGTGTTGTAACTGGTATTCTTCTTCTTTATACAGGGGATTTATCTTACAAGAACAACAAAAAGTTGCGTCCTGAACAACAATTGCTGACTTGTTCTCCTGAAATTCGAGCTGTAAGGATAACTACGTTGTGTTATTGAAGTTAAGTTTGTCCCACTGGATATGAGCTGATGCAAAATGATCCCCTTTTGTCTCTGGCAGGACCAATTAACTGATGATACCGAGTTTCTTGTTATAGCATGTGATGGAGTCTGGTAAGTCCTCAGCTAAAAGTATCAGAAACAGTTCTTATATTTTTCTCCCATGTTCATGATTTCTTGCAGAATATAGGAACTCCAAATGACAATTCTCTCTCGTACGCTTATTTGTTTGTTCAAAATATTTACCGACAAAATTTGCAGATTTTGTTCAGCTCAGTTTGATTTACTGACTAGGCTACTTTACCACCATGTACATAAAGTCATTTTGTACAGTTGTTGAACCGGTGGGTCTAATTCCTTTCGTTAGTTTAGTGTGATGATAGCATTGGAGAGGTCAAATGTCTGCACCTCCCTATATATGGGTTCGGATGCTTTATTGTGTCCAGATGACTATTAACTTGGTGGCATGAATTTCAGTTTCACCTGTTCAGTTCGATGGAAATGACCATCGAATATATCTAATTTATATCATAAGGACTAAACTTGAAGTTCCTGGATGAGGAAATTATTTATGAAACCTGATGGAGTGGTGATAGGAATTTCACCCTGCCTGACCATTACTCTTTGACACAATTAATGTAACTTGCAGCTGTTTGCTCTATATTTACATATTTTTTTTGGTTTTGTAGGGATGTCTTGGCAAACCAGGCTGTGGTTGATTTTGTACGCCTTCACTTAAACAATGTGAGTGACATTCCCCGCCCCCTCTCCAGTGATACACTGTAACAGTAACCTTGCTACCAGATGAGGAAAATTTATCCGTGTGCAGATTATGCCTGTAGAAATGTCTTCATACTGAGAATTATAATTTTGTCCAGCATATCTTGCCCTGAATGTAGCTCTGACATTTAGCACAGACTATCCTCTAAATGGGATGGTGCCTGGCCTAGTTAAATAATTTTCTGTCGGATTGCCGTTTGTATAGTCTAAAAATGGAAGCGTGTGCACCATGTTTTGCACCTTGTCCATTTACAGTTATATGTTGTTATTCCTTTTGCCTTGACATATATGTATGATGTGACCAACACAGGGGGTGGAGCTGTCGGTAATCTGCGAGAGCCTTCTTCAGGAGGCCATTACACGAGACCCACCATCGACGGACAACATGAGCGTCATACTGGTTCGGTTCCTGCACCCAGAGGGCAACAGGGGGGCGAGGGCGGCTACTTCCAGCACCAGTACCGGCACCGTCCCCAGCCGCCACAGCAAAAGCATATCGCTTTGATCTCGATCCTTCTCATGCGGAGATGGGGGTGAACCTTGGATTTACTCCTTCGTAGGATTGCTTTCCATTGATGACTAGTCTTGTCGTACTTGGTGCATTGACGACGGAGATTTGGCCTGGAGGAGGGGTCGCTTGAATTCGTTGCACATTCCTTTCTGATCCTGTTTAGTCTCGTGGAAGAAAATGCTTTAATTGACTAGTGGTACTCTTTTGGTAAAATGCCAAGCTGCCTTTACAGACTAGTAGTTCATTCTGCCTTTTATGATCTCTTCTGCTTTTTATGATCTCTCTTCATGCTTTGATCTGAATTCCCTGATGAAGCCTACATGAACGCATGCCATGCTATTTTGTTCACTTTGAATACACTGTGCTGTGCAAGTAGGCATTCTCAGTTGCTCTGCATTCAGAATAGCAGGGAGATTTTGGTTCGTGTTTCAATCTCGGCCATGCATGATGTTAGTTGTGGTCCTTGTGGAAGCAACCTGGATTTCTGGGATCCTCTGAACCGAGTGCTGCTAGCTCTGTCATCAGGAGATTGTTTTGGAGGAGATTGATTGTTGCTGCAACTAGTGGCGTGACCGGCTATTGTCTCCGTTCTATCCGCTGCGTGCAGAGAGGGCCAGGACTCGTATTGCCGGCAGTGGCGAACTGGCGGGTGACGGCCCTCCTCAGGATCGTCGGCGAGGACTCGTTTCTGTTACTTGTTACTACCTGTATGACTGTATCCCCGGTCGCCGCCGCGGGATCGCCGGAGCTCCGCGGCCGTCCTGAGTTGGGGCAGGGGAGAGAAGGGAACAAACTGGAAGACTGAAAAGATGGGGAAAGTATTCATAATTGACCCCTACAGAGCATGCCGCTGTCAAGGGTAGCGGTCCGGAATTTTGCAAATTAGACTCTGAACGATCTGTTCAGTTCATGGCAAGGAGAAATTTTCGATTTTCTCATCAATGGCTACTTGGTTTAACAGACTAGCTCTGAATCGGATCGCGTTTCATTCGTGTCCTCCCCGCTCAGCGCGCGGCGGCTTAGGGTGAGTGGTGCGGCCACTCCGGCGAGGACGTCGGCGTTGTGTGGCCGAACCGAACGCCAAAGGAAAGATAGGAGTAGCATCTCCCATTTCTGCCGTGACACCTCAATCCATTTCGAATCTCAACGTTGTGGCCCCGCCACGCAAACGTGCAAGTAATTTCAGGTGGCTGTATTATAAAGCCTTGACAGATGTAGTTCTAGCTTCACCAACAAATCAAGAATCATGTCAGTTACATAGTGAGGTCAACAATTGATCTCTTAACACAAACAGCAACATGGAAACCAAGCTAAGGTACCAGATCATAATGTAAGAATGCTTGATCAGATCATTATAGTACTAACTTGAAAAACTGGGATAGTAAAGCAAAATTTTGGGCATGCAAAGAAAATACTAGCTGGCTCGTAAAGCAATCAACGGTACAATCAAGTGATCAACTGCAAAGCATATAATAGCTCACGATAAGTCACTTGCATTATATCAAATTCATGGAAGTGTGCAGCAAAATAGTGATAACTTAGCCACTGAGGCATTCGCTAAGTAATAGCTACAAAACTCCAATCACATAGAGACCAGGACACAAAAGACTACTGCAGCACCCTAACTTAGATGATGCCAATCTTGTTGGCCACGTCGAGAGCATCGTAGTCTGGTGTCAGCTTCACGTAAGCCTTCTTCTTCCCATCAGGCCTGGAAGACAAGTAGGGTCAGTTAACTACACTACCTAGCAAATCAAGCGATAAAATGAAGTATGAAGGAAAGTGCTAACCTGATCAGAGTGTTCACTTTCTTTGCCTGGATGTCGTACATCTTCTTGACAGCAGCCTTGATCTTCTTCTTGTCAGCCTTAAGGTCAACAATGAAGACCAGAGTGTTGTTGTCTTCGATCTTCTTCATTGCGGATTCAGTGGTAAGGGGATACTTAAGGATCTGGTACTGATCAAGCTTGTTCCTCCCAGGGGTACTGACTCTTGGGTACTTGGGGTCCCTAGACTTCTTCAAGGTCTTGGGGCGGTGAAATGTCACGGATGTGCGGATCTTCTTGGTCGTCTTCTTGGCTGTCCCAGACTTAACAGCCTTGGCTGCCTTCAAGGCTTGGGCCTTGGCATCACCCTTCTTGGCAGGAGCAGCTAGACACAAAATAAAACAATCAGTTCATGCATCTTAATTAAGCACCAAGCTGAGGTTAAAAAAGCCAGGCAGAAATGGATTCATAGACTAATTATACAACCCGACTACAGGAATACACTCATTTCCAATGGACCATATTCATCAATGCTTAGCAATTCAATACTTATTTTAAACAAATATGCATAAAAGAACTTATTCAGTACTAAGACCTTATATAGTGCAAGCGAGACTACATAATAATATGATGTACAAAACTAGAAATAGTTAAAAACAACCAATATGAAGCAATTTGCACATGGTCTGAAATCAAAAGAACATGTAAACATGATCCAGCAATATCATCTGTGTACCTTTAGGAGCCATTGGAGCTTCACAGGGCTGCCTCTTGAACTGCACACAAAGAGAACAGTGATATCAGAAGTATGAAACAGAAAAACTAAACAATACACCATTGCGAATTCAGCTATTTCATAATACATTACTAATATAGAAAGAGAAAGCCACCTAACTAAGCATAGAACTGCTTCACAGTAGAGTCGTTATACACTTCAGGAGGAAAAGGTATCTTGCTCACACATTTCACATTAGCCAAGTAAATCTAAATAAGCAATCAGGCAAAAGTTCGGCCCTACCATTTCAGTAAGTATAAGAGTACTAGTAACAGGCTAACAGCAACGATACATCCTATGTGGTAATCAAAATGTATCCTGTATTATAATCCAAACAGGGTAATTTCTGATGTGAAACCAATCAACCACCAAAAGCTAACCAAGACAACAGATTCAGAACTCACACAAAAAAAAAACCACCTTAATAGTCAACAAACAACTACATCAAGTTCAAATCAACCATAACGAGCACACTAATATCGCCAGCATCCCTAAACATCACCCACAGTTCTAAAGATTCACCGTACTAGACTGTGTAACACGCCATCCTAAATTGAATCTCCAGAAGAAAAGCACCAACTACTGGATGAGCAACGACCTGAAATCCACTACAAGAAATCGACGAAAAGCGCGCGCAAGTAGCGGATCCAGCCTCGCCCTCAGATTAAGGGAGAGACGCGAGCTCCATCCCGCGCGGCTACAGAGCACAGAAATGCGCTTGACTAAGACGAACACGAGCACGAGGACGGCGGGGGCGGAGGTGGTGGTAGTTGCGGCGGGGGACGCTTACCTTACCTCTCCGGGACGGCGGCGGCGGACGCGAAGCGAGGAGGGAGACGACGGCTGAGGAGAAAACCCTAGCGGCCTCGCGGGGCGGCGACTTATAAGACGGACGCGAGCTGAGCTGCTCCCCTCTAGGGTTCAGGCGGGCTGGGCCGGAGCCACCGCGGCGAGAGGCTGCGTCGGCCCATCATCTCATGATGGATTAGTAAGGGAAAAAAGTACACCAAAGGTCCCTCAACTTGTCATCGGGATACAAAAGCATCCTCGAACCACAAAACCAAATATACGGGGTGCCTTAACTATACAAAACCGGCCACCCGAGATCTTTTTTTTTTTTTTTGGTGGTTTTAACCCAGTATTGGCCTACGTGGCGCGTGGGACCCACATGTCATCGTGCCACGTAACTCCTTTCCCCCCTCTTCTCTCCCTTTCTCCCCCCTCTCTCTCTCTCACACTCTTCTCTCGCAGTCGCATGCCGGCCGACGGGTAGGGAGCAGACGCCCGGGCGGCGGCCGGCGGACCGCAGCGTGCGAAGGCGTCCTCGCCCTCGTCTTCGTATGCCGAGGACGAGCGCCGCGTTGAGGCCTTCCACCAGCGGTTCGGCACCGGCGCGACGGAGATGCCAACTTGCTTGGCACCGCTCGCCGCCGCCCTAGTAGCAGCAGCAGCAAGGCAAATTAGCGTGCACGCGACATGCGCGACCGTGGCAACGACGGCTTGCGAGCCGGCGAGCTGATGCCGTCGCTCCGGCGCGCCATGTTCGAGCTAGCTTCTCCAGTAGGCGCGATGTTCGAGCCGCAGGAGTTGCAAGCGAAAAAACCCTACTAGCCACCAGCCCACAACTGGCCTGGACGCGCCACCGCAGCTGGAGATGGAGATGGAGGACATCGAGGACGTGCTGGGGCTGGCTAGGCTCACCGGCGGCGAGGCGCCTTCGGGGCTCCGTCTCCCGCTCGCCGCCGTCGCCGGTCCGCTCGCCCACGCGACATGGAGGACGCTGCCGCTCCCCATCCGCCGGCGCCGTGCGCGCGTCCTCCTGCCACCACCGCCGCTTCGCTGGTCGCCGTGCGCTTGCACGCTGCCTCCGCCGGCCGCCGCTTAGCCCCGCTCGCCGCCGTCCGTTGCTACTCCGTCACGGCAAAGAGAACTAAAAAAAGAAGAGAAAAAAAAAAGAAAGGGAAAAGTTGGCGTGGCACGCTGGCATGTGGGTCCCATGCTAACTCAGCCGTAGACCAAAACCGGGGTCAAAGCCGCTGAAGGATCTCGGGTGACCGGTTTTGTATATTTAAGGGACCCCGCATATCTGGGTTTGTGGTTTGAGGATGTTTTTAATATCCCGATGACAAATTGTGGGACCTTCGGTGTACTTTTTCCATTAGTAAGTTCTCTCGTGGCCCAATACTCTCTTGATGGGCCTGAAGCCTCGGCCTACCAACGGCAGCGAACTCCCCAAATCGCCACTAGGCCCTCCCCGGCTGGATTGTTCACCCTTTCTTTTCTTCTGAAAACTTATTTTATAAATAGATTAAAAAAATTATTTCGAGAATAGACCTTTTCCACGGTCCCAACGTTAATGATATTGTTGTCCAACATGACGGTATCAGACATTGATAGTGTCCCCTTAATTTTCTCGTGGAAGCTAAATCATTTACATAAAGGGATGGCTTGCTGCTGAGAACTTATGTGTTTAAAGACTTATTTTTAATTATAAAATATTTTCAAATAGGTTCTTTTTGCTAACAACACTAGCGCCAATGAAGTTGGAGCTGCGAAAAGATCCATTCTAGAATATTTTTTAGGGATCTATTCGTAAACAAACTTTCAAAAAGGTGTAAACTAAAAAAATAATCCATCCCACAATGATTCACCCCGATCCGGTTCGCCACGTCACCCCCACGCACCACGCTACTTCCCAGCGTGGCATTGTTCGCGGAGATCCCTTTTCCTCGCACGCGCACTCACCTCACCTCACCTCACACGCCGCCTTCCCGACGCTGACAGCCGGGCCCCACCACAGACCTCGACGGCCATGGACCACGATCCCAAGGAGCGGCTCCTCCTGCCGCCCCGCGCCGCGGCGGCGGCGGCGGCCAATGGGCCCCACCGCCGCGCCGCGCCCGCGGCGGGCGGCGGCGGGGGCGGCGTGGCCATCGACGTCCACGGGCTGAAGAGGCGCGGCGGCGGGCGGCGGTCGTGGGTGCGCGTGGACGCGGCGACGGGGGCGTCGGAGGCGGTGGAGGTCGCCAAGCCGGCGCTCATGCGGCGGCTCGACCTGCCCGCGCGCGACCTCCGCCTCCTCGACCCGCTCTTCGTCTACCCCTCCGCGATCCTCGGGCGCGAGCGCGCCGTCGTCTGCAACCTCGAGCGGATACGGTGCATCATCACCGCCGACGAGGCGCTCATCCTGCGCGACCCCGACGTGGCGGGGGGAGGAGCTGAGACGGAGGAGGCCGTGCGGAGGTACGTCGCTGAGCTGCAGCGCCGCCTCGTGGACCGCGCCGACGATCTGCCGTTCGAGTTCATCGCCCTGGAGGTCGCGCTCGAAGCTGCCTGCTCGTTCCTCGACGCACAGGTGCCACTGCGTATTATCTGGAAACCTTTGCTTGCGAATTATTGATTTCATTAACAATTGAGAAGTATTGACTTGCGTGGCGTCTGCTACTACTACTTCATTAACAATTGCACTGCTCTAGCAATTATGATTTAATATAAAGTGAAGCATTTGCATCTGCAATGTCTATTAGACCAGTAGATTCCACTAAACGATATCTTTTTTTACTTACCAGGACACTGTATGATGTAAACAATAGCTTTTATTTTAGCTATTCTCTGTTTAAACAGCGGTAGGAAGGTGACATGTGAATCAGGCAGTGGGCAAGATCACTGTCCACAACGTTCATTATGTCGATACTAAGTATTCATATGATCTTACATTGTTGCATACAACTAAACGGTAGTGTCTGACCCCAATGATAAAAGTTCAGGAATGTAGCAACTACTAATTTTTCAGGATCTCATACTTAGTTGTTCCTTTGCCTTCAAGAGTGATTGCCTATAACCTGAATGTGAACAAAATGAAGTAATGCATCACAGATTTGCTGATCAATTGGCAAATCCTGCAGTGATCGTCTTGTGCTACGCTCTTTTAATAGTGTTCTTTTGTGCATAATGATACGGTATCTAACTGGAGAACCAAAAACATTTGCATATTTGTCAGGCTGTCGAATTGGAGGCTGACGCTTATCCTTTACTGGATGAATTGACAACGAAAATCAGTACCCTTAACTTGGAACGTGTGCGGCGCCTAAAGAGTAAGCTGGTTGCATTGACTAGAAGGGTCCAAAAGGTAAATGGACTGTGTCAATGTAGTTTTGTTTTTGGCAAACATTAAATTGGTTTTCAATAATTGGTCTATTTCCCCCATTAAGGTCAGAGATGAGATAGAGCAGCTGATGGACGACGATGGTGATATGGCTGAAATGTACCTCACAGAGAAGAAGAGGAGGATGGAAGCATCATTGCTAGAGGAGCAGGCGTTTCAGGGGATGGGCAATAGTGGATTTGGTTCATCTTTCTCTGCTCCAGTTTCGCCAGTTTCCTCACCCCCTGCTTCTCGAAGGCTTGAGAAGGAATTGAGTTTTGCCAGAAGTAGGCATGACAGCTTCAAGAGTGCAGACAGTAGTCAGTACAGCATAGAAGAACTTGAAATGTTGTTAGAGGCTTATTTCGTGGTCATTGATTACACCCTCAGCAAGTTAACTTCGGTACGAAGCCTCGCTTTTTATGCCCTTCTGTTTATTTTTTACAACTACATGGGCTAATAAATTTTATGTTTTATATATATATATATATATATATATATATATATATATATATATATATTCCAACAGCTGAAGGAGTATATTGATGATACAGAGGATTTCATCAACATACAACTGGTATAGTCCCCAAATATCTTCTTCATACTTGATAGTTAATTTGGTAGCAGATCAATTTCCAATCTCACAACAGAATTGGCTTGTTTCTTATCCAATACTGCGAGTGCTTGCTTCTCATCTGAAACTGCTATTTAATTTCTCTATACTCAAAGTAAACCGTATGCCTCTTGCCTTGTGTATTCTTGAAACTGATATGGCAAATGCATAATTGTTGGAATCAGGAGTACAATTATCTGACCATCATACTATGTTTACTTTGACATATATATAGCTTCTTTTAACCCGTCATTTAGTTGTTACAGTTGACTAGAAAAAGGCACAAGACAAACTAAGATACATTCACAAGTGTCTCCAAATATTATCTAAAAAGGTGTCTCCAAATGGGAATGATAGATTGTACTAAAGAAAAAATATTGGACAACGTTACTGCTGATTACTCCCTAGCATTTTGGAGGATGCATGATAATACAGTAAGACTAAGTTAGTAAATATAAAGTATAATCCGCTCACAATAACATTAGTTCCATTTAAGCTAATGAAAATCTATTAACATGCTAACTGAGATTAACTTAAAGTTGGGACTGGGGTGAGACAGTAGACAGATTGTAAGTTGGGTCAGATGTCAGAAGATTACAACAGTTGACAGGCTGTTGGAGCATGTGGTTAGCTTATTTTCAATGTCAACAAAAAGATCTTCTGTATCACTACATCTGTTCACTATAACTTCAAATGTCTGTAGGCCAGATTTTTTCCCTATTACAGAGGACAGCCAGTGGTCAGTTTCTGTACAACATGCATGTTTGCATATGCCCCTTATTCACCAATATTCTGGTTGGTATTATAGGATGCACAATCGTATTCTGCTGTGGTGGTATTTCTTTTGCACAAAGGGCCTGTTGGTAAGAATAAACCGAAGGTCCTATCTTAGACTAACATCATTACAGATATGGGTTTCCACCATGTATTTACCCCAGATATCATGTCTATCATATATTTCTGCAAGGTTTAGTAGCTCGGCTAGAGATATGATTTCACAGACTTTCATATTGCTGATATTAGCAGTGTGCAACTGCTATTAGGTTCAGTATGTAAGAGAAATGAAAGTTGTTTTTCATTTCTTTTAGCCTGTTTGGTCACTCTCTATCTGGACAAGAAAATATGCTCACATGATCATCACAAATGTTGTTCTTACAGGACAACGTCCGAAACCAACTGATCCAATTTGAACTGCTGCTGACCACGGCTACATTCGTGGTGGCCATCTTCGGAGTTGTCTCGGGAGTTTTTGGCATGAACTTTGAGGTGGACTTGTTTAATGTACCACATGCGTTCGAATGGACGCTTGTCATTACAGGCGTATGCGGCTTAGTCATATTCTGCTGCTTCATCTGGTACTTCAAGAAGAGAAGGTTTTTCCCCTTGTAAAATGGATTTCCCTGTTCCTCCCCCCCCCCCCCCCCCCCCTCTTTTCAGTTTTCTACTGCAGCGTGCAGACGCTGCACTGGAAATTTATCGTCTTTCAGCTTTGCCAGCACGCAATTGTACATACATTTTCCCTCCTTGTTTCAATGAAAGATACCTGTAGATCATATCGTGATGGAGTTGCATCGGCTGCAAATGGGAGAGCTTATACTTTTCAAGCATACGTCGCTGCCGATAAGGTAGCCTCGTACATCTGGCACACGCATCTTTTGTTGTTGTGACACTGTTGCTCTGTAAGACAAACGTACTGGATCAGTGTTGTTCTCTCGGGGAAGTACTTGCATGTGTTTTAGCCGTATGCGTTGGTGTATTCCTCAGTGGTAGTGTGGTACTGGTGCCCTACTTGCTCTGACCTTGTCTTCACGTCAGCAATGGCGGATGCCGATGCCGTGCAGGGTAGACATGCAGTAACACTGTACTCCTGTTTGGTAGCACATGCGCATCCATGACAAGAAAACAACTGGATGAGCAGGCTCCTATAGTCCGGCTACATGATAATACAAGGAGTCCACTGGAGTACTGGACCAATGTGTGCCAAATTTTTTTGCTGATGCTTCTCTCATCTGGGACCAGCATGTGGTGGCTGTAGTCATTACTGGATGTCTGATTGCTACCAAGATCCAAAAGTCATGGTGTGGTAACAGAAGCCTGTCCTTTATTGCGCCCCTCAGAAATTTCTATGTTTATGTAATGTGGTGTTGCTATTGTTTTACTATGCACCAATTAACCGGTTTTCCGGACAAATCTTGCTCCCTGTCTGGAACACAGAAATTTTACAGGACTTTCACAAGGTATTTGTAAAGTCCCCGGAAGAACTAATAAAAACTCTCCATCTCTAATTTTGTATTGCGTTGAAATACTAGCCCATCTCTAATGCAAAGTGCTTAAGGAAGTCCTCATAAAAAATAACCATTTTATCTTGCCATGTAGGATGAGATATTTTAGGGTCTATTCGGTTTGGAAAGAATTTCACGAGAACTTTGAAGGATTTTTTGTAAAAATAATGTAAAATTCATACGCTCCCGAAGGAGTCGTTTAATCCTGAAAGTATCAATGATTAACTAAGCACCAATACGTAGCAGGTGCTGTAAAACTTCTCTTGGCTACTTTGATTTAAGGAACTAGATGAAGATATGGATACTTCTATTCGAGTGGAGAGTTCTTATATAGATGGTTAATTACGCAGCCTATATATTAACACACTTGTGTTTTTTAGTTTCTAGCAGCTACATCATTTTCTATAATCCTTGGCCCTAAAAACAAGTCCAAATTTTTACTAAGATTATGAAAATATATAGCTGTATTTAAAAAGAACAAAACCAGAAGCTGAAAATTTACACCCAACTTTTCTATACTCTCATCAGCTACTTCTCAGAATTTTAAACTCAATAAGACCTATATTAACACTCACCATACATTGAGAAGGCTTAGGCCCTATTTGGCACAACTTCAAATATAAGATTTTTCGGTGTTGGGTGTTGAGTGTTCCTAATTTCATAAATCCATGAATCTGGATATGCAATTACTTTGATAACATTTGAATAATTTATTTTGTTCCTGTTTGAAATTAAATATAAATATTTAAACCACTATAATTTAATACGTAAAGAAACAGCAACTAGGTTGGATATAATATCTGGTGACAAACAATACCTGCATATCCGCATATTATTGCGCCAGAACAGCAACCACCGTTCTCTCACCTCAAACTCTCCAAAGTTGAAACAAACAGGCGCACACCGCTAGGCCAAAACTACTCTCTGCCTCTCTGAACCAAATCTACCGCTAAAGAAAGGGAAAAAAGAAAAAAAAAACAGCGAGCTCCCACCACCCACCAATACCAGCGGCAGTAAATTTTGAGCTGCGGCTGCTGTTGCTGCTTGGACTCCACCTCGGCACCTCGCGTTCCCCTTCCCCCCTCACCTCGCCTAGGGTTTCGTCTCGGCTCGCGCGCCGCGGCGCCATTGCTACAGCTCTGCTACATCTCTGGGTCGTGCGTCGCTGATGATGCCCCCGAGGTTTTGTGATTAAGCTCTTGGTCTCGTCTCCGCGAGCTCAGCTCAGAGTGGGAGGCTTTTTTTTGGGGGGGCGTTGCTTGGGGTATTATGGGTGGAGGCGGGCGGCTGAGCTGTTCCTGGGCAATGCCGGGGAGGCCCGGTGCCGATTGCTAGGGTTTTGCTCGTGGATTCGCGTGGGGAGGCGGGGATCGCTTGGAATGCGTGGGTTTCGTGCAATCTACTGCTTGCTTTGACCCCCCAATTTGGTCTCGATTCATCAGGAGGGGGGGGGGGGGGGGGTTCTAGGGAGGGTTGTGGGGAGGGGAGCTGTGGCCGCAATGTCCGGGGCTAACGCGAGGGGGCGGCTCTCGCCGGCTTCCGGCGGCGGTGGAGACTCTGAGCCGCGGTCTGCGGGGAGCAGGACGCGGTCGGTTTCCGCTACAAGGGGACGGAAGCCGTCGCCGAGGCCTGGGAGGGATGCGGCGGCGGCGGCGGCGGAGGAGAAGAAGCCCGCCGCGGTGCCCACATTGCTGCCCTCGCTCAGTGTGCCGGCAGGGATGCGCAGGCAGGAGCTGCTGCTGCGCTCGGGGCTGTCGCTCGACGCGTCGTGCTCGTCGGACGCATCCACGGACTCGTTCTGCAGCCGGGCGTCCACGGGGCGGATTGGGAGGCCGACGTTTGGGGCTAGGAAGAAGAAGACTCTCTGTCAGACTGATCACAAGATTGTTTCCATGCTGGAAAGGGAGGTTGGATTGGCTTCTGCTAATGATGTGCCTGGTCTGAAGAGGAGGTGTTCATGGGTGACAGCTAATACTGGTGCGTGTTCCCGATTCGCTTGCATTTTTCAGCCAGTGTCGACATAAATTTATCCTGCATTGTCTCTAGTACAGTTATTTTTGTTCGATGGTTTTGTTGCAGAGAGGATATAATCATATGATTCATCAGGACTAAAATTTAGAACAAAAGGCCCACCATTTGTGAGTTAGAAATGCTAGATCCTAAAGACCATGCACTGGGTAAAAAATGGCCAGAGCATATTCTGTCTTCTGGGCAGACCCCGATCTTCAAGATTCTAAATGTTACAGAAATGTTTTCTGTATGTGGTTACATTACTATGTTTTATGATGGTGCGGGTGTAGACATGTAGCTAGCCACTACAATCACAAGGAGTTATACTAAGTAAAATCTGTCATTCTTGTGAAAGAAGTAACATCACTTTTCGCGAACACAAAGAAGTAACATCACACTGTAGTCATCTTGTTTCATGTTGCAATCCTGTATACAGACCTTTAAGGTTGAATAAATCTTCTCTAGGGTGGGGTGGGGATGGGAGCCGAGAACATTTTGTGGTGACCAACTCTAAGAAGCTTGCTGTTGAAATGACCATATCTTTGGGTATTACCCATATCTTTGCATTTCACAGTGCCTGCACGCAGGCCGATCCATGTCTCTCATAAACACAAGAATGCATTAATTCATAAACTTGTGAGTTTTATAAGAAACATGTGTTAGTAACAAAACGGGATGAAATTATGCCCATGATGGTGGAATCATTTTTCATCTGTCTTGCCAATTTATAAGACTGACATTGAACTTGAGCGAGACAAGGTCAGGTCCTCCTCTTTTCATCTTTTCTTGTTTACTGAATATATTTTTTGGTACTAAGGACTTGGGTAATAACAAATTTTCTAAAGGACCTATGCCAAGTAATCTCTATTTTGTTTATCAAACTGATCTTATGTAGCATATATTTTCATATCTTAACACATGAGCACTCATTGCTTACAAGTGCAGAACCCTGTTATGCTGCATTTCATGACGAAGAATGGGGAGTTCCAGTTCATGATGACAAGTATGTGAATATCATCAACCTTGATATGATACTCTTCCATTTGGTAAAAGAATCAAGTGTAAATTACTCTATTACTTTCAGGGTGTTGTTTGAGTTGCTGGTGCTCTCAGGTGCATTGGCTGAACTTACATGGCCAACAATTCTGAACAAGAGACCTATATTCAGGTAACATTTTGCATTTCTGATGTACTTGAACCTGTAGTACTAGGTGTTGGCAAATCCCAAATAACATATTCAAGTATGTCTCACAGGGAGGTTTTCATGGATTTTGACCCTGTATTGGTCTCTAAACTAAGTGAAAAGAAGATTATTGCACCTGGAAGTCCTAGCAGTACCTTGTTATCTGAACAAAAACTGCGTGGTGTCATTGAAAATGCACGCCAAATACTCAAGGTTGGCCCTTTACACTCTTGAACCTTTTAATTGCATAAAGAGGTCTCTAGTTCATTTCTTGGAATAAGAATGATACAAATCACGCTTTAAGTTCTTTGGTAACCCCCTCCTGATATAACATTATCTCCTGTAAAGTCTTCATAAAATTTGGTAACCCCATCCCGAAGCAAAGTTTTTTGGCTTTACCTTGGCGTTTCAGTGTCCGATTCAGTTTTCATCATGCTTTTCTTAAAGCAAAAAAACGTAGGATGGTTACCCAAAGACATTCCTGAGCTACACAGTGGCTTATCTAATCCATTGTGCTTATCATTGCAGATTGTAGAGGAGTTTGGAACGTTTGATAAGTATTGTTGGAGCTTTGTGAACAACAAACCTATTTTGAGCAGATTCAGGTATCCCCGCCAGGTTCCTGTCAAAACATCTAAAGCGGATGCGATAAGCAAAGATTTGGTTCGCAGGGGGTTCCGTAGCGTAGGCCCAACAGTTGTCTACACGTTTATGCAAGTTTCAGGCATGACCAATGACCACTTGATCTCCTGCTACCGGTTTGCTGAATGCGCTGCTGCAGCAACTGGTTCTAACACAACTGTTGGGAGCGAAACGAATTCAGACAGTAGCAATCGTGCCACGGAACAGCAGATGAATGGAACCAATGGACTAGCTGCTGATATTGCACGTACAATAGATGAACTTAGCATTTCATAGCGAATAGGGGGAAATGCTCAAATGATGTATAAGCATGTGTGTATTTTGTTTATCGTAGCGTTTAGGTGTGGTCTGATCGTTGTTACTTGTCACGTTGTAGCGTAGGACATTTTAGACTTTAGCATTTCAAGACAAATGAAACGGCGGCATGTAATGATGTATATTCTTTCTTTGTGATGCTTGTTTCCAAACCTGCAGTACTGAGTTGGCATGTGAAGTTCACCCTCGCTTTTGTCAGATCTTTGAATTGTTAGCATGTATTGTGAAGTTCACCCTTGCTTTTATCAGATCTCTGAATTGCTAGCATGTATAGTGTTTAGCGCGATAGCATCCCGTGTTGTGAAGCCTTCTTCTGTGGGAATTAAAATGTAACGATGCTTGAATTGATTTGTGGAAGAAATATGGCAGTTTTCCATTAATCATGTAATCATGCACGGATTTTATTAAACTCTGGGGGTATTGCAATTTCTTCGTCGCAGAACAAAATTCTCCCTTCTGATGAGCAGTGCTACCTAGCAAAATACAGAAGCCTTTGTACAACTTAGATGAGATGACAAAACGAACTGATGATGAAAATTTCAGTTCCTCTATTTTTCTTTCTTTCAAAATTGAGCAGACTTATGTGTTCCATGACAAACTTAATCGGGGCACAGGAATGACTCACGGATCAATCGACTATCATCAGGAAGAATGGCGGCTGCAGACCGCTATCCTGTAGCAAGTCCTGTTGTCTGAATCGAACTGCCCCCCAAAAATTGGCTGAAGAAAATTGTCAGGCGGGTTCAGATTAACTGTAATCGCGACCCAGGTGGGGCCACGAGATCAAGGAGCAACCCAGCGGAGGAGGATATACTCACATCCATGGTCATGGAGAGCTCGCCGGAGCCAAGAGAATAGCTCCACGCTCCACGCTCCACGCAGAACAGAATCGCCCAGCCCAGCCCAGCGGTCCACGGACCGTGCAGAATGCTACAGGCTCCAAACCAATCCAACCGCGCGATGGCGCCGGCGCGGTCGCCGGAAAAAGAAAAAGGTCAAAGAGAGCATCAAAGAATCCGCGCGCGCGCGACGAGCCTACCCTATCTGAACACTAATCGCGAGCTCAACTCACCGCGAAACAGAGGGGACGACGAGGAAGAACAATAGCATCTATCGCTCCCTTCCACCTCCCCGTTGCCATCGTTGCGTTTCAAGCTAGTTCCGATCGCTGCCAGCCCGTGTGCTGCTCCGTCCATTTACGGTACAGTACACTTAATTTTGCTCCATAAACTTGATCAGAACAAGTGAAATTTTTCCAGGCGAAGAATAGTAGTCAAGTTATGGTTGCAGCGCGCGACTTGATTAATTAGCCTGGGAAATCTAGAATACCAGACGAGAGCAAGCTATGGTTTCAGACAGACGTCAGTGTATACGTTGCATGCGAAAGCAAGATTTCATTCGAACCATATACGCATTCACAAATCAACCTTTCTGATTTGATAAACCATCAGTTGCAAGTTGCAACAACTAGCATCTTGATTTAGCTTGGATTCAAGAGATTTTTTGGGCAAATTAATTGAGCCTGATCAAAAGATAGCATGTTGATTGAGTACTATCTTATTAAAAGGCATCACCGAGAAAACGATAGACCACGTCGAAGCAGCCATTGCTTTCTCCAAGAATCTCAAATAAAGCGACAATTCAGACATTGATCAGCAGCTAGCTAGCTAGAGGGTGTGATACAGATTCATCGATGCACCATGGCAAGTACATATGTTGCATGCATGCATGGTAAATATGCATCGTAAGGAAGATATGTATCCCGGTGCTTTAAAATACAAAAGAAAAGGGCTCGTAGCATCAAGTATTATTTAGGCGGAGAGAATTGATTCAATTGTTTGGAAACACATCATATTCTCATCTACACAATCAATTAAAACGACAGAACATAGCTAATAATTACTCTTAATTTCAGTCATGTGCAACAAATATGATGGGTGCTTAAAAATATACAAAGGACTAGCTTGTAGTATGCATCAATCCTTTATAATCTGCGATCGAATTGAGTTGCTAGAACATATATTGTCCACGACAATTTGTTTTTCTCCAAGATCATATATATTCTGCAAAATCAACTAAAATGGAAGAACATAGCCATCAGAACGAAGATTTGACATAGTTCCAGTTCACAAGTGTAGCCTAGTGGTTACAAGAGCCTCAGTAGCATCTAAGGTCCTGGGTTCGACTCCTCATGGAAGCGAATTTTTCAGGATTTAATGGCATTGTGCTTTCAGTGGTAGGAATTTGCCGGCCCAGTCTTCGAAGATGCTCATAGGGGTAGGGTTTGCGTGCGTGTGTTCATAGGGGTGGGTGCGCGTGCGTTGTACTGTGTAATTCTCAAACAAAAAAGTATAGCTTTTGAATAGATATTGTTGAATAGATTTGACATATATAGTTCCTGTTCACAAGTATATGGTTGAACAGGAACTATCATCAGAACGAAGATTTGACATACTCAAACGAAGATTTTACTCCATACTCAATCATATCTATTCAAAACTATGTTTGAGTATGAAGTAAAACAAAGACGATCAGCTAAGGCCACATGTTGATAACAATATCTCCCTTTCTTTCATCTTAACTAATTGATTTATGATCAGGTTACAAATAGAACACAAAAGATGCAACCATTTCGTGTACATATATACGCTCTAAAGTATAGTGCAAAATCGATTCCCGGCCCTACTTAAACCTTTGACATATATAGTTTTTTTTTTAAGGACGGACTAGTTAAAATCTCTGTACCTACAAAACAATACTCACAGCAAGTGGATGAAATTTATCAGGTGTACATATTTGCAGTTTTAATTAACTCGGCATTATCTCCAAGATATATATATATATAGATAAATTCTTGTCTTATGATTTTTGCCAAGAACTAGCTAGCTGGAAACTGATGATAATTTCAAAGAGCTTAGGCCTCGTTTGGCTAATGGGATAGGGAAATGATTTCCCACCCATTAAAAGACATCTTTAAATCCTAACCATTCATTCTTCCTCTTCCACTTAATCCTAACCCTTCATTCATTTCCCAATCCCAATCCCACCTCTCATTTCCCATTATCCAAACACATTCTTATAGTTAATTGAATATAAGTACCTTTCAAATGTGCGGGAAAACTGATTATATATTAGCCACCCATATATAAACTTAGTACCTTTCAAATGTGCTGTTGGCCTTAAGAAAAATCAATGGACAGTTTATGCACATAAACCACATTTGGTTAATATCATAAAATAACACAAAATGAAAAAAGAACTTTTATTGTAGAGTTTTCTTCCCACATGGATTTACTCCAAATTAATTGAAAAAAAAGGGTAAGAAATGCCTTGGTTAGTTTTCACGAACACAATGGTAAATTAGTATATAAGATAATGTTACATCAATTATATTCATGATGTCCTCAATTAAAGTGAATGATAAAACTTGGTAAAATTACTTTATGATGCATTATACTTAATTATTTAACCTTATGCTTCATTTAAATAATCCTTGCGTGACACATTTAAAACGGATAAATTCTTAGTTCTCATTAAATATTTTATTTACAAATGGGAAACGGGAAGAAGTATGAGATGAATAAATTAATTCATGGTATATGCTTTTCTAAACATGATCGTATATGTTTAGCTAATCCTCCCATTTTTTTAATCAAACGCATGGATTAAGGATGCCGGTCATAAACCAAGAATTTACTAGAACTAATTAGTAAGTGGCCAAAATTAAAGTAAAATTCGTGCATGATGTTAATTAATGCCATGGAATCGAGGGGGGATCGATAATCCAAGAGATAGTCATATATATATAATTGTTGGATTAAAAAAAAAGATAATGTGGCATGCATAAGATAGAGACATGCATGGAGTACTCCAATAAAATTAGATGCAGCAAAGTGATCATTAACATGTTTGTGAAAAGACTTTAATTAGGTTATGCATGAATGATCAATTTCATGTGCATGCTCGAGTTCTTGACTTATAAAAACCAGCAGCAGGTATGCATGTAAGATCCATGATCCAGTGTTAGTAACTGATTCTTTGATATATACTTATAAACAAGATATTTATGGGCAGTGGAAAAATGAACAAGAGAGGAGAGATATCGTACTTTGCATCGATAAGGTGTGACTTAACTACGACCCATAGACTTTCAAGTGGACCAGTAACAACTGAAATTGCCACGGAACCTAGCTAGAACAATATGCTATCTGAGATATTCCTATTAGACATGCATGAATTGAAGTGAGCAGTTAAAAATATCAATTGCTAACTATCGGCACATAAATTCTATACTTATCGCATGCAATATTGCATACTAACTTAGGTACTTTCACAATATATATACATTTAAATTTGTGAAAAAAAACAATGCATTCACTTAGACCTCACCCATTTCAGCAGAGAAACCAGCTACTAGCATATTTGACACTTGCTAGTTTTTGGTGTATTATCTCACCGTGCATGACTAGTTGCACTGTAAACTTAATGCATGCCTTCTCTAGCTATGTCATTAGTAGACCGACTCTTAGCCAAACTTCATTGTTATCTGCATCCAGCTAGCGCGTGCACATCAAATCACTTTATCAGGACAACAAAAATCCAGGCAATATTTCACCTTAATTAAGGAAAAATTTAAGTCGAACCACTTGGCCTCTATACTCACAATATTCCAATATCTCAAAAATAAATTCAGATTTTCAAGACTCGTATCAGCAAGTACATTTGCTATAGCTTAGCTTTGTCCATGGACTACATATATCGAGCAATTAATCCTGTGGCCTTAATTTTTTTTTCAAAGACTTGAATCTTGTGGCCTGGAGAGTTTCTTCCGATCTTGTCACAGGAGCCCAGCAAATTAAACTCAAGTCAAACTAGTGGGGGATATATATGGACTCTGAACCGAGAGAGGGTGGTAAGTACGAGCACCATGAATGGAACAGTGGCCCAACAGTATCCTACATTTTTGGAGCCATTGGGGGACAATGCATCGTTGCACCATTACTCCCTACTTTGAATGCCAGAGCGAGATGTGAGGTGTTAATTCTCAAGAACATGGAGGACCAGCAGACAGCAGAAGATAACTGACTGATGATAAGGGGAAGCCGCCCAAGCAGATCTGGGTCTCCGTACTGTTCCTGCCTGTCCTCCTTCCTCCTCCTCCTCTCCTCCGATCCTCATCATCTAGCTAGCTGATCTCTCCACACTTGTGTGCTTAATTTGACTGTAACACTGGATGGGGCGCTACAGAAGAAGATCGAAGCTAGGAACAAGTTGAAACAAGTTAAAAGATCTCGATCTGGTTAAAATTTCAAACATGCCCTGGGAGATTCCTGCGATGATTTGCTTCTCCCAAGAGCCAAGATCCATCAATGGCGCAGTAAATATTGCATTTCCTTCCCAAGAAGGGGAATGGAAAAGATGGCTAGTACTAGCAGGTACTAGTACAACTAGTAGCTAGGCTCCTCGCAAAAGATGAAGAGAAGGGCGTCGTACGAATTGACGCAGGAGATATGGAAAACAGCAACAGCAAGCGCTGGTACTCCTACGGTACAGGCATCAACACCGACTCCAATTCCCCATCCGAACAGTGCCATGCTAGTACTACTCCTCTAGTTGGATTACCCAAAAGAACACGAACGAAATGTTTTTCGCCGAGATTTTAGAAGGAGTCGAGTACAAATAGCTTGGCAAACTAGAAAAACCGAGGATACACACCGCCTCACGGCGCTGGAACACGAACGAAAAATCGCAGAAATGCATCAATTCGATTGTGAGAGATCTAGAACCTGGCAACTGCGCCTATGCACGATTGCGCCGGAGAAGAGGGGATCGAATTAATCTAAAGAGCCTAGAGACTCGGAACAGCTCATGGCGCGCGGAGCAGTACAGGGGATTCCGTCGGCGACCGGCCGGCCGGCGAGGGGCCGAGAGGCCAGCTTAGCTAGCCGCGGGAGGGGGAGAAAACGGCCGGCACCGGATGACAGAAAGAGCAGTGAGCACGCGGCCGCGACGGCACGCCCGCCGGTGCCGTCACGCCCGGCCGTGTGCTCACTCTCTTCTGTCACCTCGCGCCACCGGCCCGCCCGCCCGCCGGCCGGAGACACCGCCATCCTCCACACCCACTCACGCTCGCCTAGCTAGCTAGCTCACACCCCCACGATGAAACCCGCGGACACACACATACCTCGCCGCGCGCGCGAGCGCGTGAAGAGACCGCAACGTACACCAACCACACGGCGACGGATCGCGGTCGAGAAGCTGAGGCGTGCACACCGGACCGGCCCACCGGCCAGTGGATTTATATAGGCAGGGGGAGGCGAGAGCGCGAGGAGGGGGAGGTGCACCGGAGGTGGTGGTGGTGGGCCAGCTGCGAAGGTAGCATGCGCTAGCCTGGACCTGGACTAGCTAGCTAGCTACTAGCAAGTAGCAGCAGCAAGCTCGACCGGGAAGGGCGCGGGGCTAGGGTTTCCATCCCGGTGGTCAGGTGGGTTAGTGGGTGTCTGGCGTGGTGGCTGCGCGCCATGCATGACCAAGCCGCGCCGCGCGCTAGCTGACCTGCGGCGAATTGAGGTGGGCGCGCGAGCAAGCTAGGCTGGCGTGGGAATTAGTCGTGACAGTGTGGCTGTGCTGCTGGGGCGGACGACCGATCGGCCCAGCTAAGCTAAGGTTAACATCAGAGCCGCGCCGGTATTGCTCCCAAATTGGGGAATTAGGGTGGTGGGGTTGCTCTCCAGGAGAGAAGGGTATTAATATGGGGAGGGCCAGTACGGGCTTGACACGGAGCACATGCATGCCCCCACATCGCGCGGCTAAGCTAACCCTTGCGGTTGAGGGCTGTACAACAATATAGTGTCAAAGTTAATTTGCACTTTTCTTTTCGAGGAGAGTACACATCAGTTTTTCTTTTTGAAAAAAAAATTCCTAGGGTGTTCACAGTCTAAAAGATGAAGTTAATGTTTCATGGTAAAATGATGTGTTAACTTTCATATTTTACACTATTATTTCGGGTTGAATTGATTCACGAGATGGCGTGTTACACTTTTAACTTTAACCTAAATGATGAAGACATGTCCTATCGACAGCTATCCCATCAGCTAAAGCATCTCAATCATGGTTGAACACATCCTCGTTTAGTTTTATGAAGACAATTTTATCTTAGTTACTTCTACATGGTATGACTTTAAAATGATCCGCACTTAAAGGTTATATTCAATCGTAAGTAGTGACACGCTTTTATGGCATGCTAGGTACTTTAACTTTATTTGTTCAAGCACCTGAAAGAATCATCCTCCATGACCCATAGGGCAAGAGAACTCCTACAATATTCCTAATAACCATCCCAATGCACGGGTTGCTCAATCACAGACACAATTAATGGAGATACTAACAAATATATTGCCATAAGAGGATAGAACTCATAGGTGTTCTCTAAATTATTATCATTTCGTACAGACCCCAACATGACATAGCAGTAAATGCATATATTGCAAAAAGATAGCAAGATTTCAGTTCTTATATCATTGGATATTTGATCAAGTGTTCGCTCAGAAACAACCACTGTTGTCTTACGTAAGGTTAGTTTATCATATGGGCGCGACGCCCGTGGGCTGGCATGGAAGGTAATGATTATTCTACTTTAGTTTAATCATGGTTTTAGTTTTAGCCCCTCAAAACTTAAATTTAATTTATTTGGTTTCACTTTGTTTCAAAAGTTCCAATAGTATTTGGTTTTTCACTATAATGTGTTGCAAATATATAGTAACGGGCACCCATCCCTGTACAGAGAAATGGATGAGAGATGCACGCGGGCATGGGCGCCTAGCTAGCTAGCCAGCCACAGCGGATCTACCGAGCTCTGCGCTAACGACCACCAGGGAAGTGAAGTCCAGCATTCTGGAATGCCCTCCATCGCTGCATGTCTCTGCATATGCTGATGCAATTTGACGGTACCAACACGATGTGTGCCAAGGCTGTAGTTGCAACGGTAGGAGACTAGGAGTGTACTCCGGTCCTCACTAGTTATAAGCCCTATACATAGCTAGCTGTAGCTGGTGAGTGGCATGCATGCCTCCCCTGTGGATTTATGTATCTGATTCCGAATTTTGCCCCAACCCAACCCCAAGGCATGAACCATGCCCCTCTGCAGCTCTTCTTCGTATGACTATAGTACTACATGTAGCGTCCATTGGCCGTTGCTAGCAGGAGCTAATGTGGCATGCTCTCAATGAATAACTGAAAGTCAGGAAGCATAGGAATAGTGACATTGTTGATGGCGCAGGTATGGTACTCCTCCAACATGTATATAAAACAAACCTAGCACAAGATATGGCATATCCTAATACTACAAATCCGAATAGAAAGTTGTCCATATTCATAGTACAAGGATGTGTCACATCTCCTATTAGTGTTTTTTTTAATGGAACAAAGGGTTATACCCAAGTACTCTGGCTTCGACGTCCCGTACACAAGTAGGTTTGGCTCATGTCAAGTCGTACGTGTCAACCAGAGCCGGCTCTCTATAGGCCCTAATAGAGACCTTGTAATAGGCCCTCAAGACCAAATATATTTTTACTTGTAATATATACGTGTTATAAATCATATAGTGTCGAAAATGATGTAAATAAACATTATAAACACCTAACTTACGATGTAAATTAATCAACGAGAACAAAACAAAATCCTAGCCCAATTTTCAGACTAAATATAATTAAGCAAATGAGAAGATCACAAAACTCACTCTAAACACTAACCACGATGAAATAAGGTGTGACCACATGGGAGTCAGACGTGAGGATAGGCAACAACATCCTACTAGCTGGGTTGGTTCGTGATGGGCCCCATATAGGCTTGGGCCCTAGGCGGTCGCATGACCGGCCTAGAGCTCTAAGATGGCCCACCCAGCGGTATGTTAATTCTTTTGGCATCTTTACCTCATCAAAATTCATACGCGGATAATATGTTACGTATACTACCCCTTCTCTTATGTTCTACGAGTACTGTAAGTAGTACTTAAAGAAAGTTGAGCCACAAGAATTGAGACGGTAAGTGAGGATGGAATATAGAAGCCATAAAAAGTTAATTATTCCATTCGTTGCAAAATACAACAATATAAAGTGTATATCAAATATGATAAATTTTCACCCATATTCTTTTATCTATCATTCACCCACTTCCACTATTCAAATTCTCCACCTACCTTTTCTTTTCAACCAATCACAATCTTCTCTCGTTCAATTTCACCTACCTGATTACTTCAATCCTAAAACTCTTTATGATTTAGGATGGGTGGGGTACTACTGGCTTGATTGTTATAGCTTCAGCTCCACTTCTCCTATAACTAGAACCCAACTAAACAATTTAAGTTTTTTTTTCAAAATTTTCCTAGCTTTGTTACTCACTACCAGCTTCTCGAAATATCAAATTCCTCGAAGAGGACCTTTTGCGTCAGGATCCTGAATATGGGCATACACTTGTGGTGGTGTGCGTGCATGCATGGCCTGCTGGTAATCTTGAAAGCATGCAAAAGTTAACTCTCTTTTTCGTCTCCAAAAGTAAGAGCCCTGTAGATTTAGAGCTAGCTGGATCAATGATCAATGAGAGCAGGTATAATAGCATACTATAAACATATTTTGAGAAGATAAAAAATGAGAGAGAATAGTAGCGGGCTACTGATTTATAGCTAGCTACAGCATGGACTTCAAAATACATATGTGTATGACAAGTGGGACCAGGTATTAAATTGTGTACTATATGTTATAGGTAACTATTATATGAATTAACTATTGACTATAGATGATTTAGAGTGAGTAGTTAGCTATACTATTAAAATTGCTGAAAGGGACGCGGTTAAAAAGGACGCATCCTGGCCAGCTGCCACTTGACTTGCTACTTGCCAGAGCCAGCGCTGCGCTCACGCATTAACAAATTTGGCACGCTAGCTACCTCGGTGTGGTCCTTGATCAGTTTTATTCTCCATTTACCCTTTGATCAAAGCAGGCTCAAAAACAATATATGTGCCGGTACAACTAAGCAATTAAACTGAACAAAGCGTTTTCGTGGTCCCTTTAATTCGAACGAATACATTGTACACAGCACAGTACAGTGCATGCATGCGCATATGTGCATGTAAATATATATGTGCATGCGCAACATGTACGGCGTCAAGCGTGCGTGGTGCTAGCTTAGCCTAGTATTGTAGGAGTACTAGCTAACTAAAGATTAGTTAGTGTTGAGAACACTAATCAAAGCTTAATTTTTGTATAGGACCAGTGTTATTCTCGATCGCCGGATGATGCTCTAGTCCAGGGTGTGGTGTGCATGCTAACGCATTACGCATGCCTAATGATGGTCCAGGGTCGTAGTGTGTTGTGCCTTTTTCAAACCGATGGAGCAGCACTTAGTCCATGGCCTTTCCGTGAGCTTTAATTTGTCGATTGTTAACAACCGAGGTGGGCAACATTGGTTAATTTTAGCCAGAACGGTAACAAAAGAAACGTGAGACAGACACACAGCCCAAGATCGATCGAGAGCTAGAGACCATCAAATTGAAAATTAATGTGCAACAAAAAATCAAGCAATTAATCCCGTTTAATTTAGTTTCCTTCGTTCCAAAGAGGCTGGGCATCTAATTGCCCGGTAGGGAGCTGGAGATGAAACCGACCCAAGAAACGTAACAGTACGTGCAAGGTGCAACACGTCCACACACGCCTGGGAGCGAGCAGGATCGATCGACAGGCGTATCCCGGTCGATCGATCGGCATCTTGTCTTCTCTCTTTTCACCGATTCCTTTGATCAGCTTGTGGGGGCCGTACGTACGTGTCCGTGGCTAGCTTTAATTCCGTGCGTGATTGGTGCAGTCTGGTACGACCTGGCGTCCTGCAGGCCACATGACACAGAGTGCGCGTGGGCGCGCATGCACACACGCACCCCCCTGCTGCACCGCTGCACGTACGTACGTACGTACTCCCTCCCCGCTCACCGCGGCGCGGCCGCCGCGGTAACCAGCCAGGAGCCCAGGAGGCCACGACGACGCGCGCGTACTCCTCCATCCATCGGTGCGGTGCCGAGAGCGAGAACCCCGGTGTCCTCCTAACCCCGGACGCGCGCGCCCGCTCGCGCTCGCGGTCGCGCACGGCGTCCTGCAGCCTGCAGCGCGCTCGCGCTGGCCGGTGTAAGCCAGCTAGCGCGTGGCCTGCAGGCTGCAGCCCTGCACCGTTGCACGGCAGGAGCGGGCGATCGAGCGGCCGCGCCGGCTGGAGTGTATGATGCGTGGATCGATCACAGTCTCACGGATCATGTGCGCGTTTCCACGATTCCACTGTGTATTGTGTGGGAATTAATGCCCACATGACCGAACGTGGTTTGCTCCAGAGGAGGAGGGTGCTCGATCCAGAGGTGACCTCTGCGGCGCAGCGAGGCATGCATGCAGGCCGGACAGATGAAGGGATGTGGAGTAGACGACGACGTACGGACGTATTTACTGCATGGTGTACGAAAGACTCCCGGATTGGAAACCACGAGCCTGCCTATATTAGGAAGTTTTCAGGTCAGGCCGGGCAGAAATGATTATACTGGATTTTTCATTAAAGCACCGGATCGACATGCATGCATGCATGTAGCGGCCATGGCATCATTACAAAACACGAATGATTACTGTTTGTGCTGCAGTCAGGATTTACTGTACCGTTCTGAAAGTGAAAATGGTTTGCAAAAACCAAATGACTATGAAAACTAGCAAAAAGAAAAAGAAATGGATTTTACAAATTACAAACCGACCACCAACGGTTTCACAAACTGAATGTTTTTCACGAAAACCGATCATATTTATTAATCCTAGCTGCAGTTAGGTGCTGCCCATACATGACATAGATACATATCTCTCTGGCGCACATGTGAAACCATATGTTCAGTGGCTGATACCACACCAATAATATTACAGACAATTTCTACTGCTGTGGCATCACAGTCCACACACATCCAATTAAGCAACAAGCACATATAGCTCTAATCAATTTGAACTGAGTCCAATCCAACTCCATTCATGAAAAAATAACTATATAAGGTATATTATTACTGTCCAAGAGAGCTTTGGCCATAAATTTCTGTTACACTATTTCACTTACAGTAATTTTTTTTTTGCAAAATTAAATATTATTGGATTAATCGTTGTTCAAAGCATAGAACTGGACAGTGAAAAAACGTCTTGTATTTCTTCTGAACGTTATGTTGAAACTATTTTTTCCTTGTGTCACCAAGAGGTCCAAGATGAAGCTAGCATTTACAACAAACTATTTTAATGATAGATAATGCACCCATCGATAATAAGCTGCATGCGCTGACTTCGTTAATCTTAAATTATATGCTCTTTTTAAAAAGGTGCGAATGCTATTTATCAACAAGCAACCCTGTCCGAGCAGTTCATAAAGTTCTAGTCTAGTATCTTGAAGGCATGCCACTATAATAGAGTATGCACGCACATATATAAGCATCTGTAATTGTACTTTGTTTCGGACAAGAAAATCGCGCGTGGAAGAACACAAAAGCAATAGTGCATCTTACTAGTACATTATACTATATATCAAATGGGCCATGGCCGGAGCCTGGTTCATGGCACTTGGCTAAGTGAACTATCTGGGCTTCACCAAACATCTAACTGGGCCTAACCATAACCAGAAGTCCAGAACGCAAGATAAGCAGGATGACGAAGCAGAGAGAGAACGTACGCCATGATCGCCAATTCGCCATTGGTGAAAGAAAACAAAAACCTTCCGGGCGTTGGGGACTGTGGCCCCGGCGAGAGGAGAGGGGACTGAGGACAGGCAGAAACGGAGCAGCAGGCTGGGGTAGGGGAGGCTTTATGATCTGTTGTCCACTGGATGATAGAATCGCATGTGCGGTGCAGACACATGAATGCCGGCCTGCTCGACGAAGACGCAGCAGGAAGAGTACTTGGGCTGTGTTTACTTCACACCAAAATTGAAAGTTTGGTTGAAATTGAAACGGTGTGACGGAAAAATTAAAAGTTTGTATGTGTAGGAAAGTTTTGATATAATGGAAAAGTTGGAAGTTTGAAGAAAAACTTTAGAACTAAACACGGTATTGTACACACACTCGTCGCTCCAAATTCTACCCTGCCTGCATGCAGTTCTTCAATGCACAAAATGTTTGGTGTGTACTACGAGAGAGTGATGAGGTGTACTTGCCTCCGAATTCCGGAATTTTGTAACTCGAAAGGATTCATTTTGGTACTGGCATAAATTCAGGTTGAGTTTCACCTCAAGCAAAGTAATTCGTGCGGTAGTTCGATTCTGAATTTCTGATACTACTGGTACTGTAGAGACTGACTCTGCTTGAAAATTACGTAGGAAACCTGACTTTCTGACAACGCAAGAACCTCTCTTAAGCAATGAAACAACCAATCAGCAAAGACAGCTAACATATTCTGAATACCCTGATTTCAAACGTGCCAGACATCATAATGAGGTGATCATTTTTTTAGATAGGCATCATAATCAGATAGTTTGATGTGCCATCACTCATAATACCATGCTAATGCAGCACATCTTTTTCGTGTATGCTTTACGTCAAGTATGAAAAATTCCACGAGTAGGCCAGTCTGATAATAAGCTTCTGCTGCGCATCTCCGACCTGTCCTGTGTGCCTTCCGTTCCAAGTTGAGCTATAGATAAGAAGTTTGGACTGTGGATGTGCACATAAGCACCCACCAACTCCACAAAAGCAAAAGCTCACCCACTTACCCCTGCATTGGCTCTCAGCATGAGTTGCATCAGTTGCTAGTAGCTCTGATGGGTTATAAAGTTGCCTCCCATTTGGATGAGAGATTGAGAGCACTCAGCACCAGTGGCAATGTGGTTTCCACTGCCAGTGATCGATGCATCTAGACTTCTCATGAAGAACAGAGCAGTATCAGTAGAGCACCAATCAGTTATTAGTAGTAGTACTCAGAAAGCAATTCATCTGAATTTGGTTTGGTTCAAGAAGGAATAACATAACAATCTCTTTAAGAAGATAAGGAAAAGAGTAGGTTTTTGAAAAACTACGGAGACTTTTATTTTTTGACGCAAAACTACGGAGACTTTGACCAAAAGTATCACAAAACTAAGTAGAAACCCAAGCAATATTCTGAAAGATAGATAAAACAAGACACTGAAATGCAGTCCTTTCCCATACTTACGTATGAAAACAGAGGCATCTTGAGAAGAGCTCAGCTGGATATGGACAAATGGTGATATGGAACCTCCTCATTAACCCAAGCAATATTCTGAAAGATGGATAAAACAAGACACTGAAATGCAGTCTTTTCCCATACTTCAGTATGAAATCAGAAGCATCTTGAGAAGAGCTCAGCTGGATATGGACAAATGGTGATATGGAACCTCCTCATTGAGTGCAGTACGAAAGATCTGTCGGTGCTTAATCATTCACATACTTACTTGAGAATCAACGTACAATGATTTTGACAGAACAACACCTGACGCAGACACCAGCAACGCGTGATGCGTCTCTATGTACCCTGTAAAATACTAGTATGAAACAGTAGAAAGGCAGGAAAATTCAGTACAAGATGGCAAAAGGCAATGCCCCTGGAATGCAGTCGAATATGCATCTTTTTGTCTGTGTTAGAAAAGAAATTCAGGTACAGTCAAGTTATTAAGTTGGAAGGTTACAGTTCTTGAGTAATCTTTTGGTCTCTGCACTAAATCACTATAATTTCTTTTTTTGTTTCCTTCTGTTGAGTGAGAATTTGCAAGTTTGAAGAAGAATGACAAAGAAAGAAACAAAGAAGGTGACACATGACAAACTTCAGTAGACTGCAGACTGTAGTCCACTGGTGGGCGGTCAGATGATCGGCGGCGGCGGCGTCTCCCAGACGTCGAACACATTCTCCTCGTTGTGCAGGGCGAAGAGGCGATCGCCTCCGATGGAGAAGTCGCAGATGGCGCCGCCGTGGCTCCTCCGCAGCGTGGACGTCAGGACGCACTCGGGGCCACTGAAGACGGAGATGCTGTCGTTCATCGACGAGAAGAGCTGCCCGCCGTGCGTGGCGAGCTTCGGGTAGCAGCTCTCCTCGCTGGGCACCTTCCGGTTCATGAACTTGCTCCGGGAGCTCCACCGCACGCCGCCGGCGTTGCTCCTCAGGTCGAGGAACCCGAGGTCGTCGTACTGGTTGATCACGCAGACGGACCGCTCGTCCTCCATGGCGATGGCGTGGAGCACGCGCTTGTCGTCGAGCGACGCGGCCATGCCGGCGTCGGACCACGACCAGGCCACGTTCTTGTCCCGGAAATCGAGCAGGCCGATGAAACAGTTGTCGGTCTTGGGGAACAGGGTCGCCACCATGAGCGCGTTGGTGGCGTCCAGCCATTGGAGCTTGTCGGCGTCGCCCAAGGCGCAGCCAGGCGGCTCGTAGAAGAAGTCGGCCTGCTCGCCGGTGGCGCGGTCCCAGACGCCGATGCCGTACTCGTTGAGCCTGCCCTTGCAGCTGGCGAAGATGCTCGAGTCCTGGTCGAACGCCAGCGCGCCGGCGGTGAAGGACTTGGCCTGGCGGTCGTGCGCGACGCGGAAGCGGTGCCGCAGGTCCCCGGAGACGGCGGAGAACGCGGCCATCCCGCCGTCGCACTTCCCCAGGCGCTCGCGCGCGGCGATCAGGAGCGTGGCCTCGTCGAGGTACGCCACGTCGTTGACCTGCGAGTGGTCGAGCGACACCGGGCGGCGCTCGTCGAGCATCCAGTTGTAGACGTGCACGGCGCCCCCGTGCGCGACGCAGCACCCCCCGTCGGGCGCGGCGCGGATGGCCGTGCCGTCCCCGGGCGCCCGCCCTGGCACCGACGCCGCGAGGCGGAGGCGGTCGCCGTCGAACGCGCCCCACCGCGCGGCGCGGACGTGGTCGAGGAGGCCGTAGTAGAGCGCTTCCCTGTAGAGCAGCTTCTCCGGCAGCTGCGGCGGCACGTGCAGGCTCCCCGTGCGGAGCAGGTCGAGCAGCACCGCGAAGCACGCCGGGTTCCGGTCGATGAAATACTCCGCCACGCCTCCTCCTCCTCCTCCACCACCACCGCCGCCGCCGCCGCCGGCGGTGGGGGCAAGGTTCCAGGACGAGTCCAGCAGCGCCCCGAGCATGGACTCCCTCCCGGCGTTGGCGAGCGTGGTGGTGGTCGTCTCGAACACCTGCCCGCCCACGTTGAACCGCACCCGCCCGCCTCCCATCCTCTCTCCTCCTTCCCCCAGCAAGCAACCCGATCACCAATTCACCATCAGTCCATCATCATCTCCAGGATTCCGCGCCCAAATCGAGTGGGGGAATCGTGCGTGCCTCGAGAGAAATTGGGTTGGGTTGGGGGAGAAGACGAGAGACGGATTTGTTTGCTATGTACGCAGCGCGCGCCAGCGACGGGACGGAGCGGACGGGGAGACAGTCGGGCGAGGCGACCCAACCGGTGGTGTTTGCTTTGACGTGACGACGGAATTTAGACTGAAGAAATGGCCACTCTAAAATGAACTTTTGTCCCAATCAATCGATCACAGACGGGAAAAAAATACTTCCTAGTACAACCTAATAATGTAAAGATTTTTTAAAGAGACATGAGTATTACGAAAATATTTGAAAATAGTTGGATAAATGTTTTGATTGAGAAAATACATGAAAAGAATGATTATGATTGTGGATTAGACTCGCTCACGTTAGATGCAACGGCCAGCGACTAGCGTGCGAGGCAGACACATCGTGTCGTCCGGAGCACATAGCCAGCTGCCAGCATAGTTAGGCTGTGTTTAGTTCAACGTAAATTTTATATTTTGGTTGAAATTAGAGATGATGTGACTAAAAAATTGTGTATATGACAGAGTGATGTGATGGAAAAGTACTGAAGTTTGGATCAAAATTTAGATCTAAACACAGCCTTACAGGGAAGGTCAGCTTCGCTCTCTCCAATCATCGCGTTCGCTACGGCGGGCGGGCCGAATCTTTCTGCCGCCTCGCCTCGTTGCGCTCGCTCGCGCGGGTTTTAATCGTTGCGTTGACCTCCTTTTGCTGCTCTTCCTGCTCCTGTCGGGATCGTGGCTGGATTGCTGGAAATGGCGCGGCGAGTTGGGCGACCGGCACCGCGGCTAGCTTGGTCGCTTCCGGTTGTTGGGGCCTTTTTCCAGGGCAGATTCTACAGCAGTGGAGACTGGAGAGAGGAAAATGGAGACCCCCGTCGATGAAACGATGTGGACGCTCATCGTGCCCGTGAGGGGATCAGAAGTGCAGGACACACACACACACGTTGACATCTCTCATCTTTGCATGTTACAGTATGGGGCAGTAGTACAGGCGTGTATGAATGCGCAGAGACATGGTCAATCCTGATTCCTGAGTCCGGCTAATTTGAATGGTTGGTGGTTTGGTGCCACGGTCAGCTCACCATAATATTCGCACAGAGAAGAATTTATGGACAGTGGACTATAAAGATGCAAGTTGTAATCCATAGCATTTACATTTATAATTTATAGTATTAGAATGTGCTATATGTCATATTAAGTCTGTTTTTCTATAGTACGAAAAAGGTATGGAGTATCCGTATTACATCATACACCGATTTGTTTTTTATGAAACAAAAAGAAATACAACTAAAGAGCATCCCTGGAAGGCCAAAAAGTACGGAGAAATTAAGCGATCAAATCAACTTGTAGTGTTGTGTATTATAACATGGGAGCATCTCAATAGAAACTAAAATTTTCAGCAAGTAGTAACTAGGAACTGCAAAACATGTAAAGAGAGATTTAGCGTTACAAAACAGCGTATTAGAGACCAGGTGCGACTTGCGAGTAATAAGGCTCTGTTTGGATCACAGCCAAACATTGCCACGCCACAGCGTGGCTTGCCACAGACCTGTGGCGGACCTTCTCCCCGCCTCAAAAATCACTGCTGTGGTGCTATGGCATTCAATGGCTACCAACCAAACAGAGCCTAACTCAATATAATAAATGCACCGAGACTAAAATATTCCTTTCCAAATATATAACCTAAGATTGGATTTGTCCAAATCCCTATTAGTGGAAATATATAAGATTAGATTTGTCTAGATTGGTTATAGTGAAAAATGTCTAATCCGTCCTAGATTGAGTTGATAAAACTTTCCTTTTGAACAAGACTATTATCAAAATTTAAAAATTTTAACTATAAATAATGTCTAAAATATTTAGTATTTTAAAAGTATGGTGGTCATATGTATAGATTGATCTTAAAAATTGCTTCAACAAAATCATATATTTATTTATATTTTATATTATATTATAATAAAAATTTTCGTCAATATTGTTTTTTAAAGACTATATCCTTATAAAAAGATTTTATCAGTCCGGAGAGGTATTTTTTAAAACAGAGGGAGTACAACTTATGGTTGGTACCAAAACAGAAGAAAAATTAAGAGGATATATAAACGGATAAGAGGATATCTAAACAGAGAAAAAAATGAGAGAAATAGGGTGACATTGGTGCAGACCGCAAAAACATGAAATCGATCGAGAGGAATGATTTGTGCAACAATGCAGAAAGGCAAAGGATGATGATATGAACTACGACATTTCTCTCCATTCATGCTTGCTGCAAAATTGACGTCTCAAATAGCTCCAGCAGAAAATACAATCTAATAAGGGTTGAACGACAGCAAGCAAGAAACCATATTTGCTAGAGGCTCACAGCTGACCACAAGGAACAAAAGTAACACCTACATTACAACTACCACTGCAACTGCTACAACTACCAGCTGTTTCGTGACGGTCGATTAGGGCAAGACTTGGCAGGCAACCAGCCAAGGGATGGAAGCCATATAAATTGCTAGGCTGCTCATGCCAAAAACCTTCAGACTGCATGCCTCATAAGTACCCCTTGGAAGAACTGCACAAGGCCAGAGCAAATTAGTTATGAGCCTTCCTTCTGCGCTTCTTTCCAGTAGAAATTTTAGCAGACACATGCTCTTCCTCTTCAGATGACTCGCCTTCTTTCTCCTTTTGCTTTCTTTTGGTCGAAAGACCATTTGTCTTGGATCCATCAGCAGCTTTGGGAGTGCTTGCACCTTTTGGATTTGATCCGCTGGATTTAGCTTCATCTTTTGAATCCTTGTGTTTGCTGCCACCATCATTTTTTGATTTGCTTGCGCTTTTAGTGTTACCAGTCTCATCCTTGTTGCTTCCCTTTAGCAGGCCATCCTTTGTCTTGCCAGTGGATCGAGATGATCTTCCACCTTCATTCTTGAGGGCACTGCCACTTTTAGGTGTCTTGGATATATCTTCATCATCGTTTTCTGCACTTTTCCCCTTCAAAGGACTGTCATCATTTTGTGAACTATTGCTGGAGCGCACACCTTTAGGGCGTCCTCTTTTCTTGGGAGGATCAGCGACATCAGTGCCACGATGTTTCCCACTGCATACAAAACAAGACAACAGTTTCAGTTAAGGTGTTGCATGTAGGCTGGATCAATATGGCACATCCATATGAAAAGAACCTGCTGGGTGTTTCTATTTTTCCTTCCTTTGTTTGCTCACCCAAGCTAACTCTACCCCTTCTGCCGTGCGGCCTGGTAAAAATGATCAAAGAACTCAAATATATAAAAAGAAAGAAAACAAAACCATATTATAAAGGATAATAGCTGATGATGAACGAAACTGGAGCATTAGGTAACATCTGCCAGCAGTATGCATGTCGCAGCAAAATGAACAAATAAATTATGTGATTACAGTTGGAACTCCTGATCATAAATAGTAAAGTTACAATACAAACAGAAACACAGTAAATCTTATAATCTATATGGTAGAAACATAAACTGAAGATAATGGATGCTGGGAATAATCCAATCAACCACAACTCAAAGCTCAGAAAATCAAGGTCATTCATGCTAGAGCAACTTATTTTGTCTCCGTTAACCCATTCAAGAAGCATTCCAAGCATCTTGAACCCCCATATCAAAGATTCAAGATAAGGAGATTGCAGGTTTATAGGAATGACAATCCGAATCATATAAAAGATTTTAGTGCTGATGTAACTAAGAAAGTCATCAAAACTTTAAGAGGATATCGATGATGCAAAGTAGAATATTTATTTACATACATATCAGACGATGCGTCAGGATTGTTGTCTCGCCCCTGCAGGTAGCAGATGAATCAGAAAGTGGCTAGAAAGGATAGATAATGGCGTCAAACTGCATGGACATACCTCATCAATGAATTCCCATTTTTCATTCTTAAGGTGTAGGCGTTCAACATCTCCATCATCATAAACAACCTGGGTGCCAAAAAAATGAAGGTATCCAAAGATGAAACTGAGCTCAAAAAAAAAACTAGCATTTGTAGTGATTTGGACAGCAAAAAGGCATAAGTCAGAGCTCATTTCCCAATGCACACCTTGTGCTTTTTTGAAGCAACATCAAATGACTCAACAACACCTTTATAGAACCTGCAGAGCAAGAAACAGATTCAGAACAAGCCAAACAACACACCAGTAAAACTCATGTAAGAAATCACATATCGTAGCAAAAAAGAGTGAGGAGACCAGGATAGATAAAATATAGGTGTGTAACTCAATCTAGAATGAATAATTGTACTGCATATATTATTAAAGAAAAGGTACATATTTAGAAACATCATATCAAAGTAACGAATAATGCAACTGAAGCGTCGTCTGCAAAAGAATATGCCATGTCAATCTAGATCAAGAAATTTATTTAGAAAATAATGTTCATACATATGAAAATATCATCATAACCAATGAAGCAATGGGTACTAGTTAGCCTACAAACACAATCTTAACAAACTCCTACATTTGAGAAACATAAATGATGGTTATAGAACTTACTTTCTGTCATCAGGCCACCACACTTTGATTCTTGAGCCAACAAGATTTCCTTTAAGAATTTTGTTCTTCTTGGGCTGGGGAGTCTGATGAAAGCAAAGAAAAAGATTTGAACAACTGAAACAGAAATCAGCTTGCAACAAGACTATTCACTAACAGCAATAAGAATCAAGTATGCATATACCTCTTCAGCTTCCTGTGCACGTTTCCTTTTTGAGCCCCCACTGTCACCTGCCTGGCCTTTGTTTTTACCTGTTTTGGCCGAAGACTTGGGAGATACGATATCCTGCGTTATGATAAAACAGTCATTGTGGTCGATCATCATCATCGCATGCACAAACATTTCAACACAAACCCATCAGATTTACACCAAATGCAAATAAAGCTCTATGAATTTCGCCGTAGATACAAAATAGTTGGTGGCAGGTTGCCAAGCCAATCAGGAAGTTAAAAGGATGAAAGGCAGAGAAGTTTAAAAATATGAGAGCCATCGACCCAACATGTTATAGTTTTGGAAAGCATAAAATGTTTTGAGGTTCCACTATTTCTAAATAACACTCCTACCAGGAAACCTTAGAACATGGAGTCAGACAGATATAAAACTATGAATATGTAAAACAGAAATCCAACCTTCTGCTAGTGATATACTTATGCACGACCTATGTGCAAAGCAAAACCTCAAATCATCTACTGTTGACAAAGAAACTACCTTTAAACTGAGATCCTCATCAGTGTCTTCATCGGGTGGAGTATCTTCCTGCTGTTTCAAATTTTCCTTCTGCTTCTTCTTCGAAGATTCCCCTTCACCAGTCTTTTTGAATGAAGACTTGATATCATCATCTTTAGCTAGTCGCCTTGTAGCCCTTCCACCAGAATCACTAACTGCGTCAGCTTTTTTAGACTCTAAACCTGATACTTTGCCTTTTCCAACATTCTTCTTCTCATGCGACTTTGATGCAGGAGGCCGGCCCCGCTTTCCCTTGCCAGCAGGTGTGTTATCAACATGTTTCGATTTGTCATCAGCAGCTCTATTCCCAGTCTCTGGTGGCAGCTTATTATCCCCATCATCAGTCTCTGGGGATAACTCCCTAGAGACTAAAATATCCTCGTTGTTGTTAACAGCCTTAGAATGATCAACCACTTCAGAATCAGTGGAAGTATCAAGTTTATGGCTTTTCTTTAAATTGTGATCAGATGGCTTTTCAGGCTCTGTGGTGATTGGTTCTGGTATTTCTTTAGCACCGGATATCAAATCATCAGTGTCTTTTGCCTGATTGTCATCAGAAGGCAGTTCAGCCTTCTTATCAGAAGAGGATGGTCCACTTGGAGACTTGACCCTGTCTATTAAAGCACAACCATTGCTAACCGCCGAAGTGGAAGTATTGTTTGGAGGAGTACCGTCTTTTCCAGGGCAATTGGCATCTTGCTCTAATTTTGATGATTCCTAAGGAATAAAATATGTTCATTGTGATATCTATCTCACTTTCAAGAACTTCAGATTGAATGTCAGTAGCGACATACCTGAGCTGACTCATCTGAAACAATCTTATGAGATAATTTCCCATCAGCCACCTGCATCACAAGCTTTCATAGTCAGCTTGGCTGAAATAAACTAATTAGTATATCAGAAGAACATTGGCCGGTATGATATCATATCAGATTGAGAGAATTTACACTACAAACTTTTACAGATCACACAGTTGATAACACCAGGTCATGGACCATTCTATTGACTCTACCAGAAACCAAAAAATATACTAACATACAATCAAGCATATCTTTGAATAACACCAAAAAAACAAAATTAATCCCAAGACCACTGCTTGATATTTCACAGTTGATACTTTTTCAGTCAATATAACTTTCAACCGCTAAGACAGCATTCCAGGGTCCAAATTCTAGTTATTACCTGATGGGCAACGTGACATTTTAAATTTAACATACATATTACTCCAGAAAGAATGCCATAGAATTGCCTGTCAAAATAGTTTATATACAGCATGATATTTAAATTAAAATACAGTTGATCATACAAAGAAATGCCTGTCAAAACATTTCTATGTCTCGTGTTCCTCTCCCAAGTCCCAGTGGTGGCTATATAGCATAAACCATATTATACCTCTATAGAGTGACAGATCTAACCATTTCCAGTAGCAAATAGTTGAACTCAATGTGTAAGACTAAAAATATGTGTTAAAGGTTGACCACCTCTAATAAAAAGAACATGAGCAGTCTTTGCCCATTTGAACACATCTGAAAATACATTGAGAATGCCACAAAATGCACTAACTCTATGGTGAGCAAACCTTAATTAATATTCAAAAAGGAAATTTGTTAGTAGTTTGACTGACCATATCCTTTCCAGGGGCATCAGAATTGTCGGCTACTCCAGCATCTAAAGCATCTTCGAACAATGATGTAACAACTTCGCTGTACTCATCCAAGGGAGTGCCCCGAAGTAAAGGAGTAAACACTGGCTTTAACTTCTCATAACACTTATTAATTACCTTCTCTGCAAGTTCGAAAGATGCTGGAAGAGTTTCCTACAGAGCAAATTTGAAATTTTAGTGAAGATGATCAGATCTATTAATTTTAATATGAAAGATGTAAGTGAATTCGAATTACTTTTTCTTCCTTTTTAAGGTTCTTCAGAAGGTAAGATGCTAGATCTTGAAGCAGGCAGGATGGCATATCTTGCTGGACATCTTCGCTCTCATCAATTACAAACTTCATCACAGTTTCCATCGAGGTGATGACATTCTCTTGATGAGTATTGCTGAAATAAATATAACAAAGTAATGAATTATAGGATAAAGAAGACTTAAGAAAATTAACAGAACATACGCAGGGCAGAACCATGAACATAGACATAAAGCAAATATACACAGGAAAACACATAGGAACTATTGTGACTTTATGAGTTTTCACGTCAAAGCAAATTGTGAACTGTGTAAACTTGTTGGAACAAATCATCATGCATGCTTTTGCACATTATTATGTGATAAGAGAAAAGCAGAAATTAGCAGGTTCTAGACAAACAGACAGAGGACAACAAAGGATTAAAATTACTTCATGGCAGATTGTGCCATTATATTTTACGCAGGGAACAACCGCTTGTCGGTTTTAAAATAAATGATGAACATAAGCTAACAATGAAAAACTGGGGAATGGGATATGGCAACTCCTCGGTATGTAAAATTTAGCATCGATATGCATGTAAAAAATGTTATTCCCCAAAGATTTGCAATCAGAACTGATAGCTGCGGTCAATTTGGTGCTTCAAGTAAAAAATCAAACGCAACAACGCCCAATGATATCGACAAACCATAGTAATACTAATACATGATGTTTCCCTTAAAGTAATCTTAACTGGTGAGTGTAATTGCAAATGCAGTTCTAACTTCTTCTCCATGTACATAATCATGCCAAATTAGCAGCATAATATTAATCAGGCATCTTGCAAGTCAATACCAGAACCACAACATATCCCTAGTCAATTTAAGAACCCGAAAGAATCGGCATTCTCAAGGTGAAGAAAATACGAAATGAACCAGCAAAAGAAGTTACACACGATATGGTTCTGAAGAAGTGGTGAAACATGTCCCGTATCAGATCGTCGCAGTCAAGATCTAGCATCAAGACACAGCTCCGGACCTTCGCAACGGTTTCAAGCATCGCAACCCTCCTTGCATAGGAGGGGCTTTCCATATCATCCAACTTCTCAAAGGCCTCAACAACTCTGGTAAATACATCCTGCAACAAAGCAAGTGACAATGGTCAGTGTGAGCAGGCACAACAATTCCGTAGCGATAAATCTTGCAGCAGAGCCAGTGACAAGGGTCACTACAAGCAAGCACAACAATTCCATGACGACAAGAAGACATTTACCTTCATGACATCATCGTCATAGGGGGCCTCCGGGGCAGTGATCCTGGTAACCTCCGTTAAACAGGAGGCAACAGCAAGCTTTATGTCAGGGACACTGTGATCCAGTAACTCCTTCTTAATCAGAGCACTCATTGTTGGCCGGAGAGCCTTGTGCATGCTCTCCGGCGGCGACTGGTCAACCCTGGCCAACCAGGTTTCTGCCTCCTGCATAAACGAATGAGCAGTTCTAAGTTTCTACCCAATTAATAAATAAATAAAACATTCTATTTATACAGATCCAAACAGCGAGGATTAAACTTCACATCAATATAACAACCAGTACATCCTATCATGCCAGGCTCCAATCTCCACGGCAACCTAGAAACGAACAACGCGAGAGAAAATAATAAGAAGAAAAAAAAAAGCAGGGTCAGGGGCGCTCACCTCGATTAATCTGAGCAGCTCGTCGTCGGCGTCCGGGAGCGAGGTGAAGCGGGCGCCGATGTCGCGAAGCCGCCGCTCCACCTCCATCTGCGCGCCGTCCGACGCCATCACGGCGGGGCGCGCGCGGTGCCGCCCCAGCGGGAGAGCCCGCGCGAAGATCTACCCCGAGGAGGAGGAGGAGGAGGAGGGGGAGACAGTTAGGGTTTCGCGAGGGGACTGGAGGGGGAGGGGGAGGGGGAGGAGAGGGCGAGAGCAGCGGTAGTGGGGGGTGGGAGATGCGATAGAGATGGAGTGTGTTAAGATTTGAGAACCAGATTTTCCCCTCTCAAGTTTTTCGGATCCCAAACTGTTTTTTTTTTCCTCCCCTTTTCCCTCCTCCCCTCTCGCAGCTATTCGTTCGGATGTCATCTCGACGACTCTCGCTGGGGTTTGGGTTGGGCCTTTGGGCCAAAATCGAAAGGCCCGTCAACCGATTGATTGCGTTAACTGAGTTATAAAAAAACAAGATTCAACCACAATGGCACAGTATAACACAACAATGTTTGTGAAAAAAATATATTAGTGTGCATATCGTTAGCTTTCCTACCAGCCTACTAATAAAATTTTACGTCGTTTGGAAAAAGCTAAAAATGTTTTGCGGCATTGAGGTTCCATATTTGAAAGTGCAGAAATTGAGAGATGATTTGATTGTTAAAGTTGTTTTGAGGATCCCTGTTATCTTGGCTCTTAAAAAAGCTGGGTCAATCTGAGGAACGATCTATGTTCTTTAAATAAAGTTATTTGAGGGTTATTAAGACATCCAATACATGTGGTGGGAGATGTGTGAGATATATAAAATGACTCTGGTCTCTATATAAGGTTTATAATCATATACTATGAAATCTATTACTCTGTCTGATCAAATTTATTTGACATAAGTCGGGTATTTCTAGCTAGATGGGTATTGTATTTGTCACATACAAACATATCTGGACAACCAGGCGAAGTGACTTTTTACAGAGCCGCTCATATCGTATAGCACATAATATGTTCATATGTGGTAGATTTAGACCACGGGTAACTTAGAGAAAAGATATAAGAGAAAAGAGAGAGGAATACATTTGTGAATATAAAAACAACTGATTAACATGGCATGTGAAAATCAGTTTGTTGATGTTGCGTTACAGAGGAACAAATAACAGCGTAGTATAAAAAATTGTTGCGATGCGGTTTCTTGCATAACATGGAGCCCAAACAAATACTAGGTTTATTATACAAAATAATCAGTAAACATTTTGAATTTAAAATAAAAAAAGAACATCTACACCCATGCTTTCTCGAGTACCCCTACACTTATCTACTTAACATGTGCTTTCTCTATTAGATCTAAGATTTGAACTTAAGAAACACATAAAAAGACAATCAGATGATATAGCATATACCGAAAAAGTTATTGATAATTGGGTAGTCTACTATAATAAACCTTTGATTAAAATATCGGATATCGCTAACTCAATCCTTTGTTTGGAAAAATGGCATGATATATCGAAGAAAATTACATGAGGCCGGTCCTAATCTTCTGGATGGCATGTGGTGCTTGAGCTAAGTCATCAGCGCTATATTTGATCTGATGATGTTGGCAAAAGTGGCAAACACGTTGTTGGTGACCAACAAGGGAGAAACCGGGGAAAAGAGGAACATGGCGAGAAAGATGAGGAAAAACGTGGAAGAAGGATGACTAGAAAGATAACCCAGCATGAACAATTAATTAATACGATGGATGTGGAAATCACAGAGGAATTTCTTCTTCGTTACCCAATGGATCAGATTTAATCATGATTTGATTGGGTAGTTTAGGATATGCCAAATATTGTCCCCACCTGTGTAGTAATCTACAACTATATTCACCTGTAAGCGTAGAATCCATTTTTTTTCAAGGAACAATGCATTGAAGTGATAAACAATATAGATTGATTCAGGGAACATATGGCACATCCTTTTGCACAAGGGGAACAAATTATTGGGACAAAACGACCTAGAGGATGAGAGAATATCAAACTCTTCCTTATTCCTTTAGCTATTATTAACAACACATTATATGGGGATGACTATGACTCCTAGTCGGTATGCATCATCCGACAAAAGTGCATTTTCATTCGATGGATTGATTCATCGCCCAAGCTAACCATGGAGCTATGGTTTCTTGGCAAACCGCCCTTAGAGACCCGCAGGGGGGGGGGAGGGGGGATATATCGGATATATGAAGTGACTAGAGTAGACCAAGTCTATTAGCGATACTTTGAACTATAACTTTATTAATGCCGAAAGCAAAAGATAAAATAGCAAACTATCCTGATCAAGTACCATATGAAAAGAACATTGCAAGCCAAGTCATGCCAATCTAAGGAGCGCAAACAAAGTACGAAGATCACGGTATATACGAGCACTCCCTACAGAAATAAAGCAAACTTTATGAAATAATTAGGGCATATGACTCATTGAGATTTTAAGTCAAGCAAGTAGCTAGACTAGACTAATCTAGATAGCTTACCATATTTATATCTTATCTTACTGAAATAATGCACAATAATTAGGGAAAAAGTAATATTACAAAGGACAAGATTTATATACTTAATACCGTTGAGCACTGAAGAAAGAAATAGAAAGGGTGCAAGGGTTACAGGAGAGTGTGAACATGTAGCTAAGGGATTTCTCATAAATGTAAAAGCATTTTTGTTCTTAAAAATGTATAAAAACCATTTCCCATCTTACAATTTGTGATTGCATTTTTTGGAAAAAAAAAAGAGAAGGAATCCACAAAAGTGCCCAACACAAAGCTTCGACCATTGCCGTCCCAAGCGTTCAAATTTTCCACCTCGAGGCCTACGGGCGGCCTGTACGATTTACCTGTTGGTTCGGTCGCTCCGTTCCTCCGGCTTCCGCCTTTCCTCGTCGCGGCTATACGGCTATTATACCTACCAGCCACCACACCACCCTTCTCCCACACTTCTCCACTGACTCCTCGAGATGGATCCCGCGCCGGCGACCCCTCGCTGGAACCTGGAGCGGCCGTACCTCACCGGCCGCTTCCATCAGGTACGCCTCCCTTCTCTCCTCCTCCTCCTCCTCCTCCCCTGTCTCGGCTGCCCCCATTGCCGCCTCCGCCTCATCCACCCTCGCGCTCTCTCTCTCGCAGGAGGCCAAGGTGGCTGCGGCGGCGCAGGGGGCCGGATCCAAGCCTTACTCCCTCGACTCCTTCAGGTGATTCGCCGGTTAAAATTTCGCGCGATTTTTTTTTTGGTGCTCGCCTCGTGGTTTTTCTGATGCCCCGGAGTTCGTTTGAATCTGCAGCCGCGGCGGCGGCGGCGGCGGCGGCGCTGAGAGTGTCATCGGATCGTACGCCGTCTCAGTGCAGGTACCGGTAGCTTGTACTTTTAGGTTGTTTAGCTGGCTTAATTGGCTTCGAGCGACTACTTTTTTAATGGACCGATGCTAGGGTTTAGGTTCCGGTTCCGCGCTTCTACTTCGAGCTCAATGGTTCGGGTTAATTGGAAGAATTCGTCGTGTTTTTTTTCTCTCTACATGTGCATGAACTGTAAATTGTTGTTAACCAGAGTCTGGATTGGAGCTAGGAATGTTATTGAACACTGTATTTTGATTTTTTGGACTGCCTACTTCCTTGAATTCAGAAAACAATATTATGTAACGGTGCTAGGTTAGAATTTTCTTTTGATATTTTGGTTCATGTGGTCAATGTAGTGTGAGTAGATATAATTTCAGATAATAAAATATTTTGTTACATAACTCGAATCTTCTGTTTGAATTTGAGTGATTCTCAGAGTTTGTTGGTCGGTGGTGTTCATGACATACTGACATGCCGTGCTAAGTACAACATATTTGTTGTAACAATGTCACAAAATAGCTGCATTTTCACTATGTTGCTTTAAGCAGCTATTCTATGAGGCTCAATATTGTAATATCTTCATTTTGCACATCTTTAAAATTATCTGAAGTAATTTAGCTTTCACAAACAACTGAAAAGTGTAACTCCAACCTATCTGTTATTGATTTGCAGGAGCTTTTGGTCATTGATGATTTGTTATCAGCTCTTGTGGGTATTGAGGGACGATACATTTCGATTAAGAGAGTACGGGGAAAGGAGGGGTATGTTGTCTTCCAGATTGATTCTTCAATGGACCTTGCACTCCAGGTAAGGCCTGAAGAGTACAACAACTGGATCATGAATTGCCTCCAAAAAGGCAGATGCGTTTGGTACTTAACTCTTTGGGTTTTTGCAGGAATTAACTCGTCGGATTTTTCCCTTATGTGAGGATTTTGTCTTGGTATACCATTTTGTGGAGTCCAGATCACATTTCAAGAGTGGCCTGGTCAACCATGCTCTAGCTGCAGCATTGAGGGCATTCCTCTTGGTAAACTCCCTCTTTCGAGCCAGGAATATTTTAATTAATTTGCCTTGACTACAAGCTTTCTTATGTTTGGAAAAGGTGGCAAAAACGAATATACTAACAATTTCATATTATATAGTAAAAACAGTAATGCCTGAATCATGAGTTCAAGTGTTCAGTTGTTTATTCTGACATGGAAACATTTGCATAAATTGTATTGGTAGAGAGTAATCTTATTACATTATCCTTAAATTAAAAGAAGGCCTATGTTTTCCAGTATTGGTCCTCATATGTGTATTTGGCACGAAGTTAAGTGTTTTATTTGTTTATCAGGATTATCAGGCAATGGTTGCTCAACTGGAGCACCAGTTCCGTCTTGGGAGACTGTCAGTTCAAGGATTGTGGTTCTTTTGTCAGGTGAGTTTTATTTACTGCATTAATTATTTATCCTGATTTGATTATCATTTTAAGCACAGCAAGTCCTGATGTGCTTTTTGGCAGAGGATGATGAGTTCATTGAACGCACTTGCTGTTCTAGTCGAGAAAGCTATCTCCAATAACACCAGTGGTTCTGCTACACTTAATCTACTTCAAAGTCAGGTATTTCACCTCTGAGATACATTTTTTTTCTTTTGCATCTCTCTTTCTCCAAGTACGAGAATCTGGTGGGTATGAATATCGTTTTCAGTAGGCTCCTGCAATCCAAGCTGAACAGACTGGTTTTCTTATCGGCATAACATATTTCTTTAACATAGCCGATTTCTCAACATTCAGTTTTTTGTTGCCTTTTCATTCTGGTCCACATGATTAGCTCTTTCATCCATGTATTAAATTGCTGTACTCCTTTCAACATAGGCAAAGGCAATGGCTGGCGATAGTGCTGTTCGATCATTACTGGAGAAGATGACAGAGTGTGCAAGTGCAGCGTATCTTAGGATGTTAGAAAGGTTCATCATGTTCATATCTTATTGTCTTTGCTACTTATCGGTTCTTACATTTTGTGTTGAAGTTAACAAGCATTTTGTAATTGCCAGTTCTTAATTGGATTGTAGTGTTAAGACTTAAGACTTGTTTAGATTAAAAACTTAATTAGCTTGTCTGCTGTATTTTGATAATTTCAGCTTCTAATGGGCTTCATTTTAGGTGGGTCTATGAGGGCGTTATAGATGATCCTTATGGTGAATTCTTCATTGCTGAAAACAAATCCTTGCAGAAGGTACCGAATGACTTAGAATTTCTGGCCTACTTAAATTCCATCGTTCTCTGCATTTTCATAAGACTAGAATACTGGGTTTGTTATATTCTTAAGATAATCAGAGGCTTTCTTTGATTTTGATAGGAGAGCCTTACTCAAGATTATGATGCTAAATATTGGCAGCAAAGATACAGTCTAAAAGATGGCATCCCTAGTTTCCTTACCAATGTTGCCGCCACAATACTGACAACTGGAAAATATCTTAATGTTATGAGAGAATGTGAGTACACTGTCCAGGTATGCATGATTATTTTCTGTGGTTGCATCACTAGATGCTATTTTATATGTGTGTGTTATAAGAACACACTTGTCTTACATACTATGCTTAGGTTCCCTTGTCAGAGAGTTCTAAGCTGATGGGCTTTGGTTCAAACCACCAATATCTTGAATGCATCAAATCTGCGTATGACTTTGCAAGTGGTGAACTCTTGACTCTAATGAAAGATAAGGTTACAATTGTTCATAGCAAATGCACTATTAGATTTCATTTTCTTCTGTGGTCTGGATTCTAATTTTGTTTTATTTACCGTGTAGTATGATCTCATTGGGAAACTGCGATCCCTCAAGCGATATCTACTTCTTGACCAAGTATGGAGAAAATTGTGGAGAACATTTACTCTATTATGTATTATTACTCCACATCAGTACTCTTTAAAATCCACACTCGCTGGGTATATTCTATTAATACAATGATATTGATAGTGACAATGCATGTCATGTTGTCAACTTGAGTTTAAACACATCCATATTTATTTTCCTTGTATTAGTTCTCCAATTTGCTTTCTTTGTTTTGCAGGGTGATTTTCTGGTTCACTTTATGGATATTGCCCGAGAGGAGCTTACAAAGAAACCAGAAGAAATATCTGTTGAAAAACTTCAGGTATCCTGTTGTGCAGTATTGTCTGTCTGTTTCTTGCTATAGTCTCATGGCGGAAACTGATTTTTGACTGCTCTGGTCTAAGCTGATCCTTCTCCAGTGATATGTTATTCCTTCTTCGTTATATGTTCTTTTGAATGAATTGCCATTCTATGTTTGCAGTCTCTTGTTGACATCGCGTTGCGAAGTACGGCAGCTGCTTCAGATCCAAGTCATGAAGACTTGACTTGCTGTGTGGTAAATATATCATCTATGTCTCGTCAAACCGTATTGTGTTTTGTTAATCAATAATATTTCTTTGTCTATTTTTAAACAGGAAAGAAGTTCCCTCCTTAAGAAATTGAGCACCCTGAAAGACTTGGATTGTGCATATCCTTCAGACAAGCTTGTGGCAGCTGATGTTGACCATCCCATGCCGTTAAGTGTGACTGGCTTGGAAACTTTCTGCCTGAGCTACAAGGTTCTATCTTCTGATATTTTTTATTCGTTGTTCTACCTTCTGACAGAGAAATGATATGCCAACTATATATTTCAGGTTCAATGGCCACTATCTCTAGTAATTTCAAGAAAATCTTTGACAAAATACCAGTTGATTTTTCGGCTGTTGTTCCACTGCAAGCATGTTAGTCGACAATTGTGTACAGCATGGCAAATTCAACAAGTATGAATGAACCTTTTCTTCACCCCCATTATATCAGCTTAATTGTTTTCTGTTTACTCGTTGACTGATGTAGAACTCTCAACCAGGGTTTCCGTTCTGTCAAAATCCTAGGAACACCAGTCCTACGGTCATCAATTCTTTGCCGCAGCATGCTCAAGTTTGTAAACAGCCTTTTACATTATCTAACCTTTGAGGTAAAGCATCCATATCACCATACTAACTGTTACCAAAGGTGAAAAATTGCTAAAGCATTCTTTTGGGTCATCAGGTTCTTGAACCAAATTGGCATTTGATGCATGATCGGCTTCAAACTGCAAGGAGCATAGATGAGGTTTTAACAACGTTCTTATGATGAAGAAAGATGTATTGCGAAAGGGGTACATTACCATTGCTGTTGATGTTGTTTGCAGGTCATACAGATTCATGATTTCTTCCTGCAGAAGTGTCTAAAAGAATGCTTATTGTTGTTGCCTGAACTCCTTGTGGTTCGTCTTCTTGCTCTTTTATATACAGAAGTGTTTGTCGCTGCTGTACGTTATATTTTCCTATTATCTGAGCTCTTTTTGGAGAGAAAAGAATTACCAGTGTTGCAACAACTTTACCTCCTCTTGTTCCTTTTAAAACTTGTTGCTTTCTTGTGAAAGCTGAAAGTAATCACTGATTGAGTTCAGAATTAGATTTCTTGCGATACTGGCATTCCAGTAATGGAAAGTTAGGAACTAGGCAGGTCAGTGATCAGGTCATCTGACTGCAAGATAACAATGGCAACTTGTCTCTTTACTGTTAAAGAAGAAAGTCACTGTCTTTACCACACTGTGTATCCTTAGCTTGATTTGTGTGAATTATATCACCCGGTGACTAGCAGTTTTACCCTTAGCCCTCTGTTTCAAAAATACATGGTAGTTTGTTTTACACTGAAATACTGTAGAAGATTCAATGTTTATTTTATTCTTATTATTAGTATATTTGTCATGTGCAGAAAATCGAGAAGCTGAAAGCTCTGTGTCTCCAGTATGCGACTTCCATCCAGCTATTGATACCATCCATTGATGTTGCTAAGCCTGAAAATACATCAAAATCTAGAATGCCAAGATCAAAAATAAAAGAAACCAAAAACAGAGGCCAGCAACTGAAATTGGCATCGGAAAATGTTGTAATGTCAGAGTCAATCTTGTATGATTCACATATTCAGTCTTTTTCACACAATGTTAATTTTGTATCAATTGAACATCATATGATACAATCTTGGACTGTTTGCTGCAGGAAATTCGAGGCAGAATTCAATTCAGAGCTTCAAAGTCTTATTCCTACGCTGAGTAACAGTTCACAGGCAGAACCATACTTGACTCATCTTGGGCAGTGCATTCTTGGTGTGGGAGTTGATCAATGATTGCTGCGCGCCATGTTCCGCGGACTTCAGACGATTGCTAAGTTTGCATGTGCAGTGTGGAATTCCTCATCCCCGTCAAGGCGGTGTTCTTGTGAATGTATTGAATATTGATGAAATATGCATGGTATGCTTCAACAAGATAGATAGTACTGTAGGATTTATGTAGTGTTAGTTCTCTTGGTGGTGTTGGGCCGTGGGTAGTTTAGGCGTTTCTAGTTTGTTCTGTTTGAAGATTATGATTGAACTCCTACGAAGAGAAACTGCCCTGTGGTACTGCTGCCACCAATGTAACTTGAACTAGATGTGATGAATTAGTGACACCACTAACAATTTGTCTTGGGCCGTTGTTTCCTTGGAAAATATAAAATATGTAGTGGAAATAACTATCGTTGAATTTAAAATGGGCGTCTGATATTTAGTACGTACATATGATTTGCAGTAGTACATTATTTCCCTTGTTTTCCAGCCACGTGCGGGCCGTATGGTTTAGGGCCCCTTTGAATCGTAGGAATGAAAAAACTAAGGAATAGGAAAAACGCAGGATTCTGACAGGAATGCAGGTGTAAAATAGAGGATTGAAAAATACAGGAAAAACACATAAATGACCGTTTGATTGGAACATAGGAAAAACGCAGGAATCGGATGAGAGATATAAACTCAAAGTAATTTTTTCAAGAGGTTGGACCTCTTGCTAACTTTTCTCCAAAATCCCTATAGGATTACCTATTCCATAGGAATTTTAAAGGATAGTATAGTATTCAATCCTTTGTTTCAAAGGGTTTCATAGGAAATTTTTCCATAGAATTAAAATCCTTCAAATTTCCTACACTTTTCCTACAAATCAAGTGGGCCCTTAAGCTGAAACGGATTCGCAGCTACTACAAGCCTGCATGGGGTGCCCACTATCGTGCGGCCTGCGACGTGTTGGGCCGGAACGGGATTCACGGGAACGTGCTGCGTGTACCGACGGACCGAGCGACCGACCAATGATGCGGTCAGGCTGCAACGAAAGCTGCCTTGCTACCTAACGCCGCGGACTCGTCCACCAGATAAACGTCGGGTCCATCTCCGTATCACCCGCACTGGATCCGGACTAGTGGCAATTTGCCTAATTCACTCCCCATACAAAGCATAACAAATGGCAAGGGCATAAAAAAAAAGTTCAATGTGTTTGGTGAATGCTGCCCTTTTTTGTAATGTCAATTCGTGGTCCAAGCTGCACTAGTTCAAGTCTTGAAATACCCGTGTAAAATTCGCGGTACATATACAACGCACATATCATATGCTATTATGCTTATTAACCAATCCAAACTCAAATAAGATGCGATTTTCTTCAAGTCTCAGCGATCAATAACCTTATTCTGGGTTAATATCTATACTATGCTATATTAGTATCTCTGTCTCACTCGACTCTAACGTTACTTAAATACTACTCAGCCCAAAATATAACTACTTCTTATCCTAAAGTATACTCCATCCAAAAAATACCTTTGTACCATTTGAGTACAGTTTCTGGCTCCATCACCAATTAGCCTACCCTCATTTAACTTTTACTCAATCCTACATGAGGCTGTGCTCGGAAGATGATGTTGGGAACAAATCTTATGTACATGTAAAAAAGAGTACAACTCATTAGCATATATTTAATTAAGTATTAGTTTAAAAACTTAAAAAATATATTATAATAATTTTTAAAGCAACTTTTGTATAGATTTTTTTAGAGAAAAATAATATCGTTTAACAGTTTGGAAAACATGAGTATGAAAATCAAGAGAGGAAAAGTTGGAAACCTACACTACTGAACTCGAACCTAAATGATCTCCCATTTGATAATGGGCATGGTAGTTTTTCCCTTTATAATATTGTCAGTTTATCCTACAAAGTGTATTTTTCTTACACCAAAGTGTTAGCGCACATAGATTAGAGTCCCTTTGAAATATACAACTTTTACAAATATACAATATCTTCAACATTCCTCAATAGCTATGAAATATACAAATCTTACAAATATACAATTCTTTAAAATTATTTATTAGCAAGTTAGGAAGATTTTAGGCCTCCATAGTTTGGCTAAATATGGATAATACACCATTCGACGTATTAGCAAAATAGTAATAATTTATAGGTAAAATTTTTATATATACGTTCTTAGCGATTTAAATATCCATATTGAAAAATAAATTTCGATCGAAAAAATTTCAAAATTAACGATGGGGACCTTAATGCCAACAGCCTGCACCCTTCGTTCCATTAAAAAAATAAACTTGTGACTACAAACCTCTGGCGACGTTCCAAAATACAACCATCAGTAAGATTTTCCGGCGACGGCGTTGGCCCGCCGTTGGATCGCAGGGAAATCCGCGTCCGGCGCGGCACACATTACACATACCTCCGTGCTCCATGACTCCGTGTACCCACGGACCCACCATTTTCCTCGCCGCAGTACCGCACCGACCCGCAGTTAGCTCACTTCCCACTCGCCCACTTCCCCCACCCCACTCTGCCTCCGGCCACTGCCGTCTCTCCCATTCCCCCCAACCCCACCACCACCGCGAAACAACAAGACGAAAATCACACGCGGACGCGGCCCGGTCACTCACTCACACGCCGCGGGACGAGACGAAACGGTAAAGAATCCGGCAGCAGCAAGCAGGAGAGCGCGAGCTCGGCGTCCCCGCTCCGCTCCACACGCATTGCCCGCTCGCCCGCCCGCCCGCCCGTGAGCGCGAGCGGCTGGAGCGATGGGGCGGCGCGGGGGCGCGGCGGTGGCGGCGGCGTGCGGGCGGTGGTGCCTGGTGATCCTGGCCGTGGCCTCCGCGCTCGGCGTCTCCGGGCCGGCCTTCTACTGGCGCTACAAGAAGGGCTTCGCCTCCTCCTCCTCCTCCTCCTCGGTCTCCGCTTCCGCTGCGGCCGTCGTCTCCCCCTCCTGCCCGCCCTGCAGCTGCGACTGCCCGCCGCCGCTCTCCCTCCAGTCCATCGCCCCCGGTGAGCTCACCTAGTCCCTTCCCTCCCCTCCCGTCAGATCTTGCAACCGCCCGTTCGCCTGATCTGCGCGCGCATAGTTTGTTCGATAAAAATCCAATCCGTAGGTTGAAACTTGCAGCCTGCAACTAGTGTTGTGTCAGATCGATGCGGGAATCATTGCATATTTGCAGTGTATAAGAGCTGAAATCAGTACTAAGTAATAGGAAAACTGAACTAATTTGCGTGCTCTCTACCTTGAACGCTTGTACATCGCTATCAGGCCATCACTGACTGGATTTTGCAATTTTATTCCTTTGCAGGGCTTGTCAACTTCTCAACTTCAGGTTTGAGCTCTTCCTTCCTTCATAGTCCCTTTAGCTGAGCTTTATCTTTATTTATCCAATATTCCCATGAAATCGGTTGAGTATAATTGTTATCTGATGGAAGGGTGGTAGCATTCGTGCTTAAGTCGTATGATGTTTCCGGGACTGAATGGTTTGGTATGCAACCTGTTACCTGTAGTTTTGGGAAGTAACCTCAGCAACTATTTTGATGCCTGGGACGATTAACGTGACTAATTGAGTATTAGGGTAGCTCTTTCAATTATTGTGCTATGTAAATGTGGCACTGTTAAAATGGGGGGAAATTTCATTTGTTGCTAAGAGCACCCCTCTTCGCATACAGATAAAAGGATGCGTTTAAACATTTACTACACCTCTTTGGTGTGTAGCACTAGTATTTGTTGGCACGCATCACACTCACAGAAGCTTAGGACCAAAAATCTGCCTGACTCTGCATACTAACCAGATTTTGGTACTTTGTGGCAACATATTAACAGTATGCACCTTTAAGTGGATTTCTTACTGGTATTTCCAGAAAAAAGAAAGGGGGGTATGACTCAGTGTAGTAATTTATTGTGTTGTGTAGAATAGTTAGTGCAGATAAAGCTAACCATTTCTGTAATAGTTTTCCCCTGAAATACTTGAGCCCCTAAAATTTTGTCTTGCCTGGAGCCCTGGACCTGCACATACTGCTTTTATGATTTCTCCTAACATCTTTGGTACAATGCTCCATTGGATAGGGAAATTCTCTCGTGTTGCTCTGCAAGTAGTTGTTATACCTTTTGTATAAACGACTACATTGCTCCAGTCTTTCTGAGCTGTAGCTAGTGAAATATTTTCAATTCGCTCCTTCCCATGGTTGAATCAATTTTGTTCTACCCCCTTTTTCGTTCACGACAACTGCTTGATCTTATTTTGTTGTACCTCCTTTTTCTTTCATAAAAACTGCCTGACCTTGCTGGTGCCATTAAGCATTTGACTTGAAACATACAGGTTGTGGCAAAAATGACCCTGAACTTAGTAAAGAGATGGAGAAGCAGTTTGTTGATCTTCTTAATGAGGAGCTCAAGCTGCAGCAGATTGTAGCTGAGGAGCATAGCCATCACATGAATGCCACCCTTGTTGAAGCTAAAAGACAAGCTACTCAATACCAGCGAGAGGCAGAGAAGTGTAACGCAGCCACAGAGACTTGCGAGGAAGCTAGGGAGCGGTCTGAAGCGGCAATTTCGAAGGAAAAGAAACTCACAGCATTATGGGAGCAAAGAGCTCGCCAATTGGGTTGGCAGGACTCTAGACCTAGAGTCACAACCATTTGATAGCTTGACATGTCGTTGTATTTCCTTTTTCTTCTACAGGTAAAATTATTTTTGGTAGCTGCTGGATTGCATCCTGCAGCCAAACCGAGCAGTGTTAATTGTACGGCTCCACTTGTAATGTATGTCTATGTATTATCATCAGCTGTGCCAAGAGCAAGAATATCATAGTTAAATGTAACTAGTATACATTTACTCAATGTTCGGATTTATTGTGACATACCGGAGATATGCTGTGGAATGTGGATGACACACTTTGTTTATGATGCAATGTACGCAATTCTAGTCTTAGCTAACTTAAGCTATGCTTTTGTTCTTGTATAACGAAGTATATAAATGGCGCATAATGCATTCTTCCCTATGATTTGTTTTATGGGACATTAGTCATCCTGTGCATTTGCTCCATAAGTCTGGTTCCAAATAGTGATATTTACATGGTTGGAAACCTGACAGATAGCCAACATCTGTGTTATGTTGGTCAACAGAAGTGTATTGGAACACGTGTGTAGCAAACTTCATTTTAGCGGTGACAGATGAGTTCCTGTCTTCCTAGAGGACCTTAGACATCAATTCGTTTAAAAAATATTTACACATTTGCGTTGCGTTTAAAAAAATTAAATTGTTGCGTTGTAGCAAACATCATCATTGTGTGAACCAGATGAGTTAGTTACAAGGACGGACAAATTCTCAATACTCTTTTCAAAAAATAAAATAAATTCTCAGCAACTTTTAAAGAATGGAACCGGAACAAAGTTCTCAACGAATAAAAAGAAAATCTCCAAAACAAAATGGCAAAATCAAATAAATTCTCAGCAACTTTTAAAGAATGGAAACGGAACAAAGTTCTCAACAAATAAAAAGAAAATCTCCAAAAACAAATGGCACAATTCAAAAGTTATCAACAAATAAAAAGAAAATCTCCAAAAACAAAATGGCACAATTCAAAAAATTATGGCCCATGCAGGTCTCGAACCTGCGACCTTCGCGTTATTAGCACGACGCTCTAACCAGCTGAGCTAATAGGCCAATTCGATAAATTTGTGTTATTTACTGTATGCAAGGCTATTGGCCATTATCCTCTCTCGAACCTACGTTACCCTGCACGCTTGTGTATTTTCATCATCGAAGCCATGAAGATCCCACGCCGAGCGTACCGGCCTCTGAATCTCATGAGCCACATCTCCTCCTCCTCCTCCTCCTCCTCCATCGTAATAACACGGAGCGTAATAACCGTAGTGCCCCACGCCGCCGCGCCTCTGAAACTCATGAGCCACATCTGCTGTTCCTCCTCCTCCATTGTCCGGCGGAGGCACAGGCACCAGATGATCATAGCAACTCGGAACGTAAGCGCAAGGCACAGGCACCAGATGGTGATGATGACGATGATGATAATACGGGACGTAGTAGCCGTGCCTCTGGAACTCGTGATGAGCCTGCGCATCTGCTCCTCCTCCTCCGCCTTCCCCGTGATCATCATCTTCTTCCTCGAGAGCCAGGATCTCGACCTTCTTCCCGGTCTTCTTCTTGATCCGCCTCACCGCCTTCTCCGGCTCGAAGTCGCCGCCGCCCGTCACCGTCACCTTGTTCTCTCCCCTCTCCACCTCGACTTTCTCGACTCCTGCGTAAGTGTAGTTGGTCGAAATCTCAGGTAATATGCTTTGAGCTGAAGATTAAATAGGATGTGTCTTTTGGTGGTTTTGGTTTGTTATTAATTAGTTACCGTCGATTTTCTCTATGGCTCGGCGAACAGATCGTTCACAGGCTTTGCAATGCATGTAGATTCTCAGTTCTAGTTTGATGCTCTGTACAAGGAAAACAAACAGTAAGACGGTGTGGTTAAACGGAAATGATGGTGGTGATTAAATTGGTGCTTTGGAGTTCGTCCATGTGCGTAGTATGTACGAGTTCGCAACTTGGAAAGAAAACTTACGTTCGTGGAGCTAGCATTTTCTTCATCCATGATGCCGGCCTACTGAACACGGTACGGTAAGATGTAGTATGAAAATCACCCTGAAAATGTGGAACATGTAGTCAGGTAGAAAGCAAATTCAGATGGGCAGAAGTAGTAAAATCCATAATATGGTTTCGACATTCCAATCAAAGTCACATGTGAAAATTCTTCTTTTTTTTGGATAAGAAGTCACAATGTCTTTGAACCACAATTATAAATTCCCAAGCGCATTTCATGCAGATTAACCAAAGACATACAGTCAATCACAACCAATGAAAACTCGCATGCTGGAGCAAAATTTTCAGAAAAATGCATAATTAAGTTTCATGCATGCAAAGTTAGCTATCCTCCTTCACCTGGTCGTCTCATTCATCAATCCATGCCGATCGCGTGCTCTCTCCTGGCCACCGCAACGCCTGAGAAAACGCGAAAGACCTGACAATTACACGGATTGGTAGAGGTAATAATCTAGCTGTTCTTGCGCCAATGTTCAGGGAAGAAAGAGAATCTCTTCTATTGTACCCGCTCTCGCTGTCCTAAGAATTCGATCGACCCTGTTTGGGAAGTCGCATTGACCATCAAACCACTTCTCGGCCGATCCCGTCGGGACCGGGTTGTCTATTTATGAGGTGGTAAAGAGTGATAGGACTAGAAGTGGGGGAGAAGAGGTCGCCGGAAAGAATAACCTGCTAGCTTCACGCGATCACTCCCGGCCGCAGCCTAAATTCGCGTGTCGTTGACAGGAGGCTCCTCCTCTGAAATCTTGTGGCAGAATTATTCCTCTGCATGCGGTTGTTGCGGCATTGTTCCTCTGCATAAGAGGCAGCGGAGACGGACGGCGTCGCCGCTTCTTTGGACGGGCCCGCCGGCGAGAGCGCGAGGACGGGGCTCGCCGGAGCTCCGGGCCGGTGGTGGTAGGGACGGAGGTTCGGGAGGCGGGGGAGAAGAAGGCTGTACGTAATGCGGCCCATGGTTCCTGGGCCTGAAGTAGTTGTGCCGTAGCAGGAGGCCCACAACCGCGGCGACGGGGTTGGGCCGGAATGGGGGTTTTCACGGATTATTTTTTTTCATTTTTATTTACTTTCTAAATGTTTTTAAAAATAAATTAATTTTTCAAAGTTTTGCAAAAATATACTCCTCCCGCTATACCGTATAGAGCGGAACATATAAAACGTCCTCCTCTCCTACAATAGGATGGACTATGTGACGTAGCACAATGCGAAAGGACGTACCATGGTGATTTTGCAGGCGGCCCTCTTCGCGTCCTCCCAAAGGCGATTTAGTTTGCGGACATTAGCAATAGTGTGTTGATGTATAGGATACACCATGGTAATTTTGCATACAACCCCCTCCAAGTGATAAATCGTCTTAGGGGAGGGATAAATTGCTCTAGAGAAGATCAGAAGAGTTATAAGGAGCCACCTACAAAATCATCATGCACGCCCCTCTTGTGGAGCATCACATCATATAGAATGCTTTATTGTACGTTGATTTATATGCCTTACCTTACGATAGAACGGGTGGAACCGATTTATATGCACCACCCAACGGTAGGATGGAATGAGTTTATTTCTTGTAAAACTTTGAAATAAGAATTTATATTTTAAATCTTTTAAAAAATAAATATAAAAATAAAATGAATCGTTCTCACGTGTGTGACGTATTTTTTTCAGCCAGATCCCTAGTTTGGATCGCGATTATTCGTTGCTATCCTTAATTTCGCGAAGAAGCCCTAATTTTCGATCATGGAATTTTTCAAAAACGTACTCCAGGCCAGTAGACCAGGAGTGCTATTAATCCTGTAACTTTGCAAACGAGACCCTATTTGGATCTTTATTATTGCTTACGATCCTCAGTTCAGACTTCAGAGAGAGCCATAGCCAGCCCGCCGCTCCCCGCCGCTGCCTCTTCGCTCGTCTCCGTCGAGTCCGTCACGCAGGTAAAATCCCCCGCCGCTGACTCGCGCGCTGATCTCGTGTGTGTTTTGGTCCCGATTTGGGCCGAGTTTGATCGGCATGCCGCCTGGGTGGTGTTGATTCGGGTGGCCTTCCGCAGGGGATAGTTGGGGGGATCGATCCACTGGTTCTCGAACTGCCATAGTACTTGCTTTAGAGGTAGCGGTTTCACTTGTGTGATCGACCAATCAGCCATTTCTGCTCGATTAAATTCGGCCAGACCTGTGTAAATTGGGGTTTACGCGAACCGAGGAGGTGTTGTAGCTGTGAGTATTCATGCCACATGCCCACATTGATCAAATTATGCTCTTCAAACACATGAATCTACTAAATTTAGAAGAAAGAAAAAAAAACAGAGGGGCTGGCAATTTCATAGTGGATTCATTTATTTTTGTCATCTCATTTTTCTAAGTTCTTAAGGAAATGTTGTGCAAATTAAGCAGAAACTGTAATACCCCAATGTGGTTTCGTATTAGCACCTGTTTGTGTGACAGGAGATTCTCAGATTTTAGATTTGAGGACCATCAATCCCTCACTACTTCACTAGCATCTACTTGTCATGGGATAAATCTGAAGTCCCAAGACCTGTATAAACGAAATTTCTCCAATTCTCATGCAGATCGTAGTAAACTTTGGTCTCTTTGTTTCATCCAGATCGGGAGAGGTTTGACAGTGCAATGTAATCGATAAGCAAAACCGACAGATACACCAAATGGCACGCCTGTGCAGCTTCTTGTTTGCAATGATGTGATCTGGCAGAAAGAAGGCTTGTTGGTTGAGACTGCAGTAGCCTTGGGCAGATACACTTGATGATTTATTGATGCAGAAATTAGTGCTTAGCAACATAATGTTGTCTGTGTACTTTATTAAGCTAAATGGACAATAAATATGCTGATACAATCAGCATGCCATTCCTCGAAACGAAGTACTAAAGAGAATAAATATCGAAGAGGTTTTTCAGCAAATAGCTATGTCTTCCTCGATGAGAAGAGGTAGGAGCATTATCTTTCATAGTTGTTTGAATCGAGTTATTCTGAATCCCTGAATGTTGATGAAGCTTCTATGCCTAATCTGCAGCAAACCCAGGAGTTAGAGCAGTCAGGAAGCCCTGGAGAGAAAGCAGTCCAAGGCTCCAAGCTATTAGTTTTTTCAAGAAGAGAAACCTGTGACCTTTTGGTGCAATGTCCTCTTTGGGAGATGTTCTGCACAACATCTTGTGAATTGTGATGCTAGATTTCATTTCCTGTTGCTTGCTTTGCTTCCAGCTGACTGTATATACATATAGGTGCTGGTATTTCTGGCTCTGTGTGCAGCAGATTGCTTGTCATGTGCTTTTTTTTTTTCAGAATGCTCTACTGATTACATATTTACATCTTCCCAGAAATCTTGTTTATCAAAGTCAGATTTTTGCACATTTTTTTTGGAGAGATCCTTTGCACATTTTACTCGTCTACTCATCTGACTTATAATTATTTTTTTATCATTTCAGCTTGGTTTCATGACTCTCATCTAGCACAAGCTCCCGGTCTGACTCAAGCCGAGTGGGCTGGGCCTGGGCCGCATCACGCAGGCACACGAGCTGGGATGGGATCATTTGGACTCTTCCAGTTCGCGCCTTATATAATGACCTCACGCACGTTGGCTCGTCAATCATCATCGGAGCAGACACGAGAGCGGCGATCTCATCTCAGGCGCAACGCTCTGCAAGTCTCGGAGCGCTGCCGGAGCTGGTCGCTGCACGGCGAGCTATTCGGCGATGGATCAGGGGAGCTCTTCGTCGATGTCCTCGTGCTCTTCTTCCACGACGGCGTCTACCGGGCCCGATCAAAGAAGATTGTCGGCGGCGGCACCGACGTTCGACCCGTCTATGGCCTCGAGTTCGTCCATGGCGGCTACGACGGCGGGCGTTCCAGGGAGCTCGCCGGCAATGGCGCCTCTGCTTACCTCTGCGAGGATGTCCTCGGGCTCTTCCGCAAGTTCCACTACTTCGTTCGACCCAGCAGGATCGTCGGCGTTGGCACCTGCGCGCTCCCCGAGGCCTGGATTGTCGGCGTCGGCACCTGCGTTCTACCCGACGACGGCCTCGAGCTCTTCCACGCCGGTTATGCCGGCCGTTCCAGGGTTCTTGCCGCAGATTCCTGAGCCCACCGCTTCTTGTTCCGGTAAGCTTCGAAAGGAGTTCTTTGTGTATCTTTTTGTTGTTTCGAATTGTGATTTTCTTCCTGGTTCTTGTGGATCGATGAATCCTTTTTGCTTCGATTCCCAAGTGCTTATCTTGGCTCTCCCGAATCTTTTGATCTTTGGGTTCTGCGGAATCTTTCATGGTTCTTGTTTTCTTGTTTTTTTTTTGGCTCATCTTGGCTTTCCTGCATAATCACCTTCTTGTTTTCTTGGTTCTGGGTTTTAACTCTTCGTGTTTATTTGGAATCCTTTTCTTGAAGGAGACAAAACGTGATATTTTTTTATAAAAATGATATTAGCGATTTCACTGATGAATCTTTGAGAATTTTCTTGGTCCTGTATGAAAAAAAATGCCATCTTTTGTTTGATGTTCGGTAGTCTTTCACATTTTCCTTGCCTTAGATAGTTTGCTGTCATTTTATCTCGGGCAGCGATTAATTATCGTGATATCTTGATCAGACTTTCCTCCGGAGATGCTCTGGCATCATCCTTGTGGAGAACAGAAGATCAAAGGAGGACGGCCGGACCTTCTTGGTCGTGAGTTTGGTATTCTTGCTGAACAGAAGAGGTTGATTCAGAGACATTTAGATCTGAAAGAAGAAATGCATTTGCGCCATAACAAGGAGATCGAGAATGCCTTCATTTCGGAGACAAGGCTGGCCCGGGGTGTGGAGCAAGATCTGCTTGGGGACTGCAAGAAGGCCGTGCTAGTGCAGCAAGATCAATCTGGAAAAGAAGAAGAAAGTCATCAGTGCCTGAGGCAGCTGCAAGACGTCAACGGCGAGCAGCTTGTGGGGGTGCCGAAGCTGGTAAGTCTGGAATCAATTGAACTACCGGTAATGTTGAATAGGAGGGTTATTAGCATGAATTGTTGAATTTAGGAAAAAAAACAACAACTGCATCTGGAGATATTTTAAAACATAAGTACACATTACATGCTTGAGAAATATGCAGATTTGCAAGTGAGTCCCCTACAGAAAAGCTACTGTTACACTATCGGTAATGTTGAATAGGAGGGCTATTAGCATGAATTGTTGAATTTAGTAAAATGACACCAGCATTTGGATATACTCCCTCCGTTTCATATTTATAAGTCATTTTGACTTTTTTTCCTAATTTTTTTCGAGAATGCGCAAAAGATTTGCGCATCTTTGTATTATGATTAGGGAATTAAGTCAACAACTTACAAACCAACCTGAACAGAAAAAAGAAACAAAGAGAAACTTTATTAAGTTTGACCAAGTTTATAGAAGAATTTAGCAACATTTAAAACACCAAATTAGTTTCATCAAATCTCATTGTATATATTATGATAATATGTTTGTTTTGTGTTGAAAATGATAATATGTTTTGCTATAAACTTTGTCAAACTTAAAAAAGTTTAACTAAAAAAAATCAAAATGACTTGTAATATGAAATGAAGGGAGTGTTTTAAAACAAGGAAGAAGTACACACTTGAGAAATGTGCAGATTTGCAAAATTGCAAGTGAGTCTCCTATAGGAAAGCTACTGTTAGGAAGTATAGTTGGGTTGGCACTTACAGCTTAAGACATGCTTTGCTGTTATTTGTCAGGGTCTTCCTGGAGCTGAAGAAAACGTTGCATGCAACAACACTGCTTCCCATAAAGAATTCAGTGAATTTCCAGGTCCAGATATTAAGGTATATCCATGTCACAGAAGTGTCAATGTCAGATACTGCAATTCATGGCAGCTTGGAAATAGTTTACCGACATTCATGCCTCATGCTGCTTAGACCATCTTATAAAATGCTGCAATAGTATTCAGGTCATCTTGCAAGGATGATAACCATATTTACGATACGCTTCTGACTGCAGTTTGGGAGCATCAACATCAGAGATATACCATTGCTGCAGGGAAGGCAAGCTGCAGTTATTCTGCCCAATCCTCAGCTAGATAGAAGAACTTCCGGTTTAACTCCAGCTGGAGCCAGTTCCCTGGATCAGGAGACAGATCAGGAGCTGAATGAAAAGCTTTTGTAGTAGTTATGAAATAGTTACTCAGATCGTGCTCCTGTGGACTTGTGCAGTTGTGTTGTGCTGTACTTACAAATCTGTCTTAAATTGGGCATTTGTCATGCTGAAAAGAATCCGCTGAAGATAGTGGTAAACTGGTACACAAAATTCTGTCTTGAAACACCCATTAGGCCATTAGGCCCATTAGTCAGCAAGAACATGTTGAAGGCAGTGTCACCCTGCTGTGCATTATATAACTCAGAATAGCAAGTATTCTTTGGCTGTTTGTACTGAACAATAGCTCTGGTAGCTACATTCTGTAAATTTTTTTGCCTTCTGGAAATGAAAATCAGCAAGAACATATACTGTCACCCTCCTTTGTATAATGCAATGTAGAAAAGTGAGTATTCTTTGATTGTTGTACTGAACAATAGCTCTTTTAGCTACACTGTGCATTTTTTTTTGCCTCTGGAAGTAAAACTATGAAGGGGTCTGCAGTTCATCAGTGTTAACTGCAGCAGTGCAGCATTGTAAAAGGTGGAATAATTAATTATTTGCCACTCTTACGAGTGGTGCTAAATGATTTACCACTGGACCCACATATAATAGACACATGAGGGTCCACATGTTATAGACAGCGAGTGGCAAATAATTAATTACCAAATCTTAAGGGTGGCCAAAAGTTAAATGTCTCGGAAAAGGTTGTTTCTCTCCCTGATAGGCCTATAATGTATCTGCCTCGTTAAGGCCCGTTTTTCTCAGGCTAGGCCTGGCCCAATAGCCGGCCCATGCTACCATCCACGAGTTAGATCGAGCGCAGCAGCAGAAGGATCCCTTCCCATTTCCTCCACCTTCCTCCTCCTCGACTGACTCCCACCTTCGTCAGATCTGCCATTACCGAAGCCGAGCAGGCGAGGCGAGGCGAGGCGAGCGGACGCCATGGAGCCCGGCGTGAGCATCGAGTCCGGGTCGGCGATCCGCGTGGCGGTGCTGCCGGTGGGCGGGCCGATCTCGCCGGCGCGCCTCCGCGACTACGCGGCGCTGGTGGCGCGGCACGCGCGCGTCGACCTCGCCTCGCTGCGGCCCTACTACTCGGAGCACCAGAAGAGCCCCTTCGCGCACCAGCCGTGGGGCGGCGGCTGCCTCCGCCTCAAGTTCGTGCTCGGCGGCTGCGTGCCCTCGCCGTGGGAGGACTTCCAGTCCTCCCGCAAGGTGCTCGCCGTCGTCGGCATCTGCCACCTCCCGTCCTCCCCCGATCTCGGCCGCGTCGCCGCCGACTTCGTCGACGCCGCGCGCTCCTACCCCTCCGCGCTCGCCAGCCGCTGCTTCGCCTTCTGCCCCACCGACGCGCAGGTACCTTTTGCTACCGCTGCTGCTGCTGCTGCTGCTGCTGCGTCTCTTCCCAAACCTCTGGATCACGTGGTTGTTTTGGTAGTGCGCGGCTCAGCAACCACTCGTGAATTGAGTTGGCCATTTGGTTGTGGAGTTGCTATACTGAATACGTGTACCTATGGCTTGCGCATTGGGTAGAACCTGGCAGCTTCAGAGTGTTCCGATGCTTGTTACTTTCGGGTGAGATCTGAGTATCTGACCTCTCGATCATGCAATCCACGCTGAACTAATACACTGATTCTATTGCTTGAGAGTTGGCGATTTTGCATCACAGCAGCTGGTCTCGTGGTGTTAATTCAGCCATCTATGTGTTGTTTTAGTTGATGACTAGGCTGTGCTCAGTTTTCTTGTGATGCATTCCGCTAGCATTTCTATCCTTAAACTAATGTGTACTTGTTTATATCATCATATGCCAGTCTTTCTTGCATAATCATATTAAACTTCACCAAATCTTGTATCTACATTCCTTGTGTAAGGAACTAGGGAAGGTCATGATTTACTACGCACCAAGCTTCTATGTAGTGTTGCTATGTTGATGGATTATATTCATAGCTCTTGCCCCAACGTTCTGATGCCAGCCTTGATGAATTGTTTATTTGATCACTCCATGATCTGATGTGATTATTATTTGCATTGTTTGTTCTGTAGCTGGTGCAGAAAAAGAGGGATAATATTATTATGTTCCCTCCTTCTGATCAACAATCGTTGGAACTTCATATGCTCACGATGATCCAAGACCTTTCTGCTTCGCTGTTGATGGAGTTTGAGAAATGGGTCTTACGTGCAGAATCAACGGGAACTATTCTAAAGACTCCTTTGGATTCACAATCCAGTCTTGGCTCAGAGGAGGTTCGTACTTTAGGTGTTCCGAGTATTTTGACTAGTGTATGTTGATGACATAATAGTACAACATTTATTGATTATATGAGATAATATGCTTCCACATTTTCTAGGTGATTAAGGCTAAAAAAAGAAGGCTGGGTCGTGCGCAAAAGATAATTGGAGATTATTGCTTGTTGGCTGGATCACCTGCTGATGCGAATGCACATTATGCCACTGCAATAGAGCTTGCAAGATTAACAGGAGATGTTTTCTGGCATGCTGGAGCCCTTGAGGGTAGTGTCTGTGCATTAGTGGTAAGCATTTGTATGCCTTATTAAGCTTTGGGATTGAAAGCATTCCTTGTATCAGATCATACTGCATGATAGCTGTAATGTTATACACTGCATATTCAGTATGATAGCTGTCATGCTTATACACTGCATCTTCAGTGTTACTTGACATAAGATATCTAGATCTAATGTGAGAAACACTGCACTTGAAATTTCCACCAGACCCCACTTTAACCCCACCCAAATTTTCTTTGGGTCTAGATTCTCCAATGTCTGAAACTTTTATAATGTTTAACTCCAAACAACATATTTCGAGGACTTGTTAAATCATTGAGAAAGGGATCCAACAATTACATTTCCATTTCTTTCCAATATGCTGAGAAGTGAAAACTGGTTCATTCTCGCTTCTTTTCCTCACCTGGTTAGAACATTCCCATGACAAGGTTTGGCGATAATTTTATGCTTATAATCAGGTTGATAGGATGGCCGAAAGTGACCCTGTTTTGGAGGACGAAGTGAAGTTTCGTTATTACACCATTATCCAGCTATACAGAAGAGCAACTTTACAAGACAATGCTCAAAGGTATTGAATTTGTCATGTCATTCCTTCACATAATGATTGCTTTACCCTTTTACATGCTCAAAAGTATGTCACGAGGCACAAATGAAAGAATTGAATTATTTTTATCCCTTTTGTTTTTTCTTCTTAGCTTTGCTGAAAACTGGATAGAGGATTGCACTCCCTGAAATTTTTACTTGGTGAATTTACTTAATAAACTAATATGTCATTTGCACTTGTTCTTTTTCTTCCTTAGAGTTTCACCAGTCAGCTTTGAGCTTGAAGCTGCATTGAAGCTGGCAAGATATTTGTGCAGGTGAGTCTCCCTATTATTATATGAGCAGCACTTGGTTAGCCAGGTTCTTTGTGCTATATTAACAATTGATTTCTATAGAATGAAAATCCCAATATCTCCTTTGGTGCTTGAGTAGATTCTTATGCTTCTTTAGTTATAATTATTTGACTGGAAAAACTAGGGTGGAATGGGGGTCTGAGATTGTTGAAAGTATACTTTACTTAGGTTTGTTTTGTCCATTGAATTTTGCTCTTTCTTTATAAGGCGGCAATGTGCCAAGGAGGTGTCAGATTTACTAATGGGCGCTGCCGATGGTGCCAAGGCTCTGATTGATGCCAGTGATCGCTTGATACTCTATATTGAAATCGCGAGACTTTTTGGTACACTTGGTTATAAACGCAAGGCGGCCTTTTTTTCAAGACAAGTTGCGCAATTGTATCTCCAGCAGGATAATGCATATGCTGCTATGAGTGCTATGCAGGTCCTAACCACAACTACAACTGCATACCATGTTCAAAGCAGGAAGACCAGCAAAATGGATCATGGTTTGCTCAAGGTGAGATTTTGAGAGCTTGCAGCATTGAGAATTATTTCCATTATTCAGAATACTGCACCATATTCATATGTTCTCCTCAACTTCTCCAAACATGCCTCGCATTTTATCAACTTGGATACTGCTTTACTCAGTGAAATCATGCCATCATCAAAATGTGCTTTCTTTTTATGCTGGAAATTTCACGGAAATAAACTTTGCTATGCTAGTCACGAGTTAACTGCACAACATTTTGCCTTTTATTCATCTTTATATATTAGTACTCCCTCCGTCTCATTTTAAGTGCAACCATGAGTTTCCATGCCCAAATTTGATCGTCCGTCTTATTTGATTTTTTTTATAATTAGTATTTTTATTGTTATAAGATGATAAAACATGAATCGTACTTTACGCGTGACTTATGTTTTTAATTTTTTTCAAAAAATTTTGAAATAAGACTGACAATCAAAGTTGGGCACGGAAAATCATGGCTGCACTTAAAATAGGACGGAGAGAGTAGTTGCTTTCCTTTTATTTCTGTTGATGTGGTGAGCAGGGTAGAATAAATGTCGTTGACAAGAAATATAACTCAATTTAAGCATTTTAGGACGGGTATCAATGGTTAAGAAAGATACATGAACCCCAATGCAAACTGTATTAATCATGTTAGTAAACATTCCTGCTTTATTAAAGAGCATGTGAGCACTTTGCCAGCATATATTTTTTATTTTATGGTGCTCATCTTGTTATACCAGAAATGATCATTCAGATATCATTCGTTTAATCACACAAAGGACGAGCGTAATTATTATATTGACAAATTGGTGTTGAGTTTATATTTTATTTTACATATAATGATAATGACGTATATTGAATAGTTTTGCATTCATAGCTTTACTGGTTATCCTTATTTGATTCTGGCAATACTGATCCTGGAAAATTGCATCCTCAGTCTGTAGTATCACTATTTGAGTCACAATGGAGTACCCTTCAAATGGTTGTTCTAAGAGAGATACTGATGTCTTCAATCCGGGCTGCGGATCCCTTATCGTCGTGGAGTGCTGCAGCCCGGCTTCTTCGGTCATTTTACCCACTCATCACCCCAGCTGGTCAGAGTGGCTTGGCAAGCTCTCTTTCAAACTCAGCTGATAAGCTTCCATCGGGCACACGTTGTGCCGATCCATGTCTTCCTTTTATCAGGCATGTCAAATTAATGAATACTCTTATTGCTATGTTTGGGGAAACTTAAAATAGATACTGTAGGAGTCCTTTTATTTTGTTGCAAAACTGTAGGAACTACTGTTGAATCAGGAAGAAGATTTTGATCGAGCATGTTTCTTTATTTGTTTTCTGAGTTTTTATTTCTGGTGTCCTTTTTTTAACTCAGGTTGCATTCTTTCCCACTGCACCCTTCACAAAGAGAGATAGTGAAGCGCAATCCAAATAAAAAAGAGTGGTGGACTGGTGGTGGTCCTTCTGGACCTTTTATTTACACACCTTTCACCAAGGGGGGAACATCTGGAACTAGCAAACAAGAGGTAAATTGGATTGTGGGAGAGCCAGTTCAAGTTATGGTAGAGTTAGCAAATCCCTGCAGCTTTGACCTAATTGTTGAGAGCATTTATCTCTCTGTTCATTCTGGAAATTTTGATGCCTTTCCGGTTAGTGTTAATCTTCCACCAAACACTTCCAAATTGGTTCTGTTATCTGGAATTCCAACACAAGTTGGACAAGTATCAATTCCTGGGTGCATTGTTCATTGCTTCGGTGTTATCACAGAACACCTATTCAAAGAGGTCGATTGTCTACTCCTTGGAGCTGCACAAGGGCTTGTTCTTTCTGATCCTTTCAGATGCTGTGGCTCTAGCAAGTTTAAGAGCGTTAACTTTCCAAGCATTTCTGTTGTTCCTCCTCTGCCATTATTAGTTGCCAATGTTGTGGGCGGAGATGGTTCTATTCTTCTATATGAAGGTGAAATCCGTGATGTTTTGATAACACTGACAAATGCTGGAACTGTACCTGTTGAAGAAGCAAATGTTGCATTGTCAGGGAAGAACCAAGATTCTGTTATTTCGATTGCCCATAGCACATGGAAATCTGCACTTCCTATTAAACCTGGTGGAGAAGTGACATTCGCAGTGACTCTCAGAGCCTGGCATCTTAGCCCGACAGATTTGGAAGCAGATGGCAGCAGATCTCCTGCAAACTCAAGGAGGATAGCAAGAGAAGGGAGTAATCCTTTCTTGGATATTCACTATGCTGGTGGGTTCTTGGTGCAACATTCAATTTTATTAGTGCATCGAAGTCACATCAGTTTAACATATTCCCATCCATATGCATCCCTACCAACTGTTTTTATTTATCCTAGATTCAAATGTTTCAGCAAAACACAGTAGGAATTAGCTGTAAGGAATTACCATAGCAGGATAGAAACAGATAGGCAAGTACGAGTAGCTTGTTTACTACTACATCCGTTTCATATTATAGGTTGTTTTGACTTTTTTCCTAGTCAAACCTTTATGTTTGACCTACTTTATAGAAAAATATAGTAATATTTTCAACTCAAAACAAATATGTTATCAAAATATATTCAATGTTACATATAGTGAAACTTATTCGGTGTTGTAAATATTGCTATTTTTTTTATAAACTTAGTAAAACTTAAAGAAGTTAGACTAGGAAAAAAGTCAAAGCGAATTATAATATGAAATGGAGGGAGTATGTGTGTTAAAGCCCCTTGTCAGTTGTTATTTATTCTCTTCGATGATGTTTACAGTATTTCTTTCTCTGAAATGGCGATGCTCACTCTTTAGCCTGTCTTAGAAATGCATAACCAACAACCTTGGCCTTTCTAAGCATAAACAAATGAAATGTGGAGAGTATTCTTTTTTAATGATCAGTTAGGCTGTCTACAGTCTTGAGGAATGAGGACTGAATTTCGACTTTCTGCCATTACAGGTCCTTCAGGGAACTCTGAGAGCAATGATGTTTCTCTCCCACCTGGAAGACGTCTGGTTGTTCCGTTGAATATTTGTGTTGTACAGGGCATGCGACTTGTAAGAGCACGCCTGTTGTCCATGGAATTACCTGCCCGGTTTACTGATGCTCACTTAAGATCTGTCAGTAGCAAGGACAATCTAAGCAATGGCAGTGATGCGATTCGTAATGACATTAGCTTATTGAAGATTGATCCTTATAAAGGAAGCTGGGACCTCCGTCTTCTGGAACTTGAGCTGTTTAATCCTACTGATGTTGTTTTCGATGTTGATGTCTCAGTTCATCTCGATGGCACAAGTGTCGAGCAAAAAATTCTTCCAGAGGATAAAACGGCCAGTTCGGCTTGCCACAAAACTCGAATTGATCGTGACTACTCTGCTAGAGTTCTCATACCTCTTGAGCACTTCAAATTACCTGTTCTTGACACTTCCTTCTTTGTGAAGGAAAATGGAAGTGATGAACCTCTTGGATCCAGAGCTGCCACGTTAGCAGAAAAGAATGCCAAGGCGGAACTAAATGCTTCAATCAACAACTTGATTTCAAAGATAAAAGTGAAGTGGCATTCTGGGAGAAATAGCTCCGGTGAGCTGAATATTAAAGATGCTATTCAGACAGCATTACAGGCATCTATTATGGACATACTGTTGCCTGATCCGCTGACATTCAGCTTTAGACATGCCAAGGATGGAACAACAGCCAAAACTGACTCTTCGAAGGAGCCTGGTGACGGTTCCAGTCGTTCTGCTGATGAGAGTGTTCTGAGGTGTAAGGATCCTATATTTGCTAATGAAATGACCCATATGGAAGTTCAAATTCGCAATAACACTAAGGAAACTATTCGGATGAACCTAAGCATTTCATGCAAAGATGTTGCTGGAGAGAATTGCTTCGACGAAAATAGCGCAACTGTCCTCTGGGCTGGTAATTTAATGATGACATTATCTTTCCTGCTATCCTTGTCTGTTTTGACATTTTGTTTTCTGAAGGCAGCAAATGATCACGGTTAAGGAAGATCACAATATTTACATTTTGATTAGTTTTTGGCTTTCCATTGAACCAATCCGTTAGGTTACAGTTTGTCATTGCATTCTGCCCTTAATCTGTTCATCTATTTACTCACAAATGTCCTTTTTGGTGCAGGTGTTCTTAGTGACATATATCTGGAGGTTCAACCACTGCAGGAGGTAGTACATCCTTTTTCTATCTACTTCCTGGTCCCCGGAGACTACTCGCTGCAAGCTGCTTCTGTTATAATTGACGCAACCGATGTTCTTCGTGCTCGGGCAAAGGCAGAGTCGCCCGACGAACCTATACTATGCCGTGGATCTCCATTCCATATCCATGTAGTTGGTACAGCTTAGCCGGACTTTCTTGGATTTAGTCTAGAGCGTGCCCTGTATCGTGCGTGAGTTTCGTGACATGTGCAGCTGCGAAGATCATGTAGAATTTTTATGCACATCTGATTTATTTGAGCCGCATGAAGGCTTCCCTGTAACACAGTTGTGTTTTGTACAGTGTAAAAGCATAGTGAAGGTTGTTTCACAGACGCGCGAATTTGCTGGTTCTGGTTTCAGCATCTCGATGTAAATTTTTTCTGTCCTACGAAGAATTCCATACGTATGAGCTCTCATTTCTGCCATTAAGAAATGATGGGGATTTAAAAATTTCGATGCATCAATACAAGTTGAAATCCATCAACCATCGATTGTTACTTTTCATACGCATGGATAGTCATTTCTGCCGTTAAGAAATTGTTGGGGTTTTGAAATTTTGATGCATCAATACACCCATCAACCAGCGATTGTTTAATTTCTTTGCAAACAGTGACAAGGACAATAAGGCAAAGGTCAAGTTGTCAAAGAAGGCTGCATCCCTAGTCTTGTGATCAAATCTTTTATATGCTTCTTTTCAATCTTTTATGTTTCTTGGGCGGAGGTCCTCACTGGCATGCATTTGTTTGTTGCTTGAAGTACAGCCTGGCAATCGCCTTGAAGAGCAGGAGCTTCAAGGGAAGCCTTCGCCGGTGTCTGAGCTACTGAAGGTTTGTGTAGAGGCAGATAAGAATGTTTTCAAATTACTAACCTTGCATACTGCAGTCTTATGTTTTGAAATGGACATGATAAAAGTTACGAAATGCTCTGATTGTCTTGACAAACTTGAGCAGTGGCGAAGTCCTACCCCTTTTTGTCCGTGTGCAATTGCAATTTGTAGCTTGCACAAAACTTTCAATGGGTCGTGCAAGATGATGTGAACTTCTGACATTCCTTTACTTTTGTTTTCATGGTCATAAGTGTGCAGGATTTTATGCCCTCCGCAAGTTGCAAAAGGTAGTTATAGAAATAGAACGAAATGAGGCTCGACTGGAGAAAATCGCTAATGTTGCAAGGGCGGCTCTTACGAGGATGAACAATGGGGAGACACTATCTCAGGAGGAGATGAAATCGTACCTTGAAGAAATTATTCGTTTGGCTAGTATCTAAGGAACTGATCCCAGGATAGTGTAATTTTTCATCACCTCTGTAATACTCCTATGTCATACGATGCGTAATCAAACATTGCAAATTTGCAATCATATGCCCCTCCAGCTAGATATTTGGTTAACTGTTTATTTCTTCAACTCTATAAATTAGTTGTACTTATAACATGATGCATTCTGCTTTAATTCTTTAAAGTAAAATATTCTCGTCATTTGAATTCAGAGAGTACCAGCCTGTAGGACGGCTTAGCTTTGGTAGCACGGTAATCAGGCTTACCAAGCTTACGGAGCCATCGTTTCGCTTATTCGCGGAATAAATGAAACGGCATATTTGCAAACGAAAAATAAGTTGTGAATAAAACTTTTATATACGTGTTCTTGGCAGTCTAGAAGTAAAGGCTGGAAAATAAACTTCGATGAAAAAAACCTCAAAATCGACTCCAAATTTAAGGTTGAAAATTAAAATTTTGACTGATAAACATAAGCATAGCTTTTGCTTCGTGTTCGTATAATGTTTGAACTTTGAAGTGACAGAACGAAACAAACATCCTAATCGTAAGGCACTCGCATAGTATAGCGCTCGTTGTGCCGGTGCCGTTCACAATCACACACGTGCAGGCCATGTACTTCCTAGTCACGATTACTGAAATTATCTCAACCAAATTGGGGAGACGAGCTTTTTTTTTTTTTGATAGATCTTCACATCGTCAAGCATTCTACAAACTATATGTTGATTGAATGGGAAAACGATCAGTACACAGACAGACATGGGCGCAGAAACTTCTTAAGATTTTAAGCTTGACAAGTAAAGTCAAGTCAAATTCCTAGTACAGAAAGGTAAACTCTTGTCTAGTCAAGATGGTAGACACGAGAAAGACATCTAGGTGGCATCAAAATCTCATGATCAAAGCTTTCAGAACCCTGAATATCTCCTCATATACATCTTAAGCGGCTGTGAAAACCTTCTTCCCTGCACCACTCTTTGACCCTGCCGGAATGACCTTCAGCACATTGAACCTCACGGTCTTTGACAGTGGCCTGATATTAAACAGATAGTTGAGTAATTTGTGGATTTCTGGGATGAAGCACACAAAATAACTGTACTTTACTTGGCTAAGATTAGAAAATTCATGCTCAAACATTCAGGTTTGTATTCACTGAGGTACACAACATTCACAGGTCAAAGTGAGCCGTCACAAAAACATTCAAAGGAACATGACAAGCTTTACCTGCACTGGCCAATGATCACGTGATCTCCTTCCTTAACACGGAAGCACGGTGAAATGTGAGCAGGAATATTGGAGTGCCTCTTCTCGTACCTGCATCAGCATCAATAAAATTAATTTTATGAACAAACAGCCCAATGAGGCATTATAGAACTGATACCCAGCAACCAGGTTAACTTGCCTCTGGTACTTCTTGACAAAGTGCAGATAATTCCTCCGAACAATAATGGTCCTGTTCATCTTAGCACTATGACATGTTCCAGCTATGATACGACCCCTAATTGATACAGTACCAGTGAATGGGCATTTCTTGTCAATGTAGGTTCCTGCAAGAAGTAGCAAACTGAGGATATGCAGAAACCTAAGTAGTTTTAACAGAGGAACTCTAGAACCAGGCATCTAAAGATATCTTCCAGGACTAGTAAAATGTCAATAGGAAACAATAATAGGAGTAAAGATGATCTCATAAGTCGTAACTACACAATAAATGGAAATTACCAATACTCTTTAGTTTTAGTGAATGCTAAGCTTCAAGCCTGGCAAGGTGAAAGCATTTGGGCAGCTACTACAAATGTTTTAAGAAACAATCATTCATGCTTGTCTACCAATGAGCACAACAACTATAAATCTGTCTTCTTAACTACAATAGAGGCAAATTGGTCTACAACTAGAGCACACAGGTTAAGACATAAGAACAAGAAAACTGCACTGGGAACTAAGATTTATTGCCTTAATTTGAAAAGAGATTGGCATATTACTGAGCGATCATCAACCAGGGTGGAAGACAAATTCAGAGAGCAGGCAAACCATGCTGCTCCTGTTCAATTGGAAATGTGTACAGATAGAAACAGTAGAATTCAGTGTTGAAATCTAACGCGCAATAACTATATCAACCTGGACAAACCATACAAGCAAAAGATATGTTTAGTTGTTTACAAGCCAAGAATTAACAGGAACATAATCAGACCTTCGATGGCTTCCCTGGGTGTCTTGAACCCAAGGCCAATGTTCTTCCAGAACCTATTCCCGCCCTTGCCAGGCTTCTTCCCCTTGGTGGTTTTCTTAGGACTGGATTCCATAACAGATCATGAGCCACGTACCACAAATACAAAGAAACAGACGCACAAAAATTATGAATAAAGAACTTGCTCTTACCAGAGAAAAACCTTAGGCTGCTTCAAGAATGCCCTCTCAGTCTGCAAAAACAAATGAGCAAAGACGTTTAATTTCTGTTAAACCTACAGCAACTAATAACATAATAGTCCATCTACCAATCCATCTATACAGCGATCAAAATTACCACCAGAAGGTAACAAATTCTAGAGCTTAAACAACTGATACAATCTGTATAATCCACCTAGCCATTTCGCGCTAGCATGCCATTAGAGACTGCGGCATTCCAACAGCTATGCACCAAAATCACAACGCTACGCAGAAAAAAAAAATCACCAACCGGACTGCACCCGCACGCACTAGATCACCTACTACCACAACGCCGCTAACGAAACGAGATCTTAAACACGCATGCAAGAGAAAAACAAACAGGTCACAATTGATAGTTGATACGAGCAACTCGGGAAGGGTTCTCACCTGCTCCGCCATGATCGCCGCGCGAGGAAGAGACGCACTGGCGCGAGACGGCGGCGGCACGGGAGGAGCAGCAGCGGAGAAGAAGAAATTCCCGAGGCTTTAGAACCCTAGCCTTCCCCTGGTTAAATCCGTTCACTCATTACACGGTGGCGTGAGGCGTCCAAGCAGAGTGGGCCGAGATGGGCCTGAAACATCTCGGTGCAGGGCCTCATGCTAACATGGGCCGCAACTTGAGTTGGAAATAAATAAGTTCACTCTAGGTCCCTCATTGACATCAAGTTTGAATTAGGTCGTTAAACTAAACCGCTACCAGATGTAATGCATCCCTCAACTTGTAAAACAGGTGTACTCGAGATCCTATGACAGTATATTGTCTGATTTTAGTTAACGTGACGAGTTAATTGGGATCGATCTGGGTTCCATGCTGACTCAGTCGGGGTGACAGTAGTCAACTTGTCACGTTGGCCAAAATCGGCACTATACTACTCTGGAACATCGAGTATACAATTTTCTACAAAGATGAGAGATCCAAAGTAAACTTATTTCAGTTCGAAATGCATCGCATTGCTGGTTGGCCCATAACTCTTACCGGCCTACTACTATATTTGATGTGGACTCGGTTCTGCACAGCAGGAACGTCGGAATAAGTTCCCTTGTGACCCTTATAAGTGTCGAAATTTAATCCGTGACCATAAACTACAAAACCGGATATCTCGACTCATAAAACAGATATGCTTGTCTACCAATGGGACATAAAGATCTGGCAAGACGACAGCTATTGGCCTACCGCTGCGTGTAGATGGCCGCAGGGTCCAACGAAGTAGCAGAGCAAGCTTGGAATTGAGAAGAAAACATCCCTGCGGTCCAGCAAAGGCGATGTCGCAGGCTTGCTCGCCGCGGATCCTGCTTGGTGCGGCTTGGTCGGATCACCGATGGCGGCTGTTGCTTGCCACCGCCTGGCTAGCGCACCGATGCTGCCGCCGCTTTGACCCTCGCCGCCCGTCGCGGGAGAAAAAGAGAGAGCGGCGAGGAAGAGAAGGAACTGGAGGAAGGAGAGAGAGAAGGGACACGTGAGTCTCACAATTTCTTTTGCGTGTCAATGATAAATCGGTCCCACACATATTTTTAATTCTAAACGCCACCTAAACGCCATGTCAATCCCACGTGTAAAGGAGACCCGGTCAATACCGCTACGTAGGCGTCACGTCAGCAAAACCGTCAAGGGAGTTAAATTGCACCGGTCTTAAGAGTTTAGAGGTCGAGATATTCAGTTTTGTAGTTTAGGCTCACGGATTAGATTTCGATCATTTTTAAGGGTCACTAAGTGAACTTATTCCCCGTAACGTCCCCGGAGTGGGGTGGTGGCCCAAGCCTGTAGTATGTTTTGTCGTACTGTAGCATCTAACACAACTACACAAGGGACAAACAGGTTTAAAAAAAGAAAAAAATATGAAAACACCAGGACAAACATCACCAGCTGCGTCTTTATTGCTCTTGGAATTGTCTCATCTTTTGCATCACGAACCGTTGCATCACCAGCTCCGTGGCAGGGGGATAGTCTAGACATGACATCGTAGTAGTCTGGTTTGCTCTGAGAAGTGAGAACGCATTTTCGCGTCCGGTGCCGGTGGAAACGAATTTAATTCCTCGGCGCACACGAAGAAAAAAGCTACACTCCAGCACGCCAGAGGCAGTAGCAACAAGCCAACAACCGGACAATAACCGGTGCGCGGTGGAGCCTACGGATCGACGACGACGGGTGCGGGAGCGGTGTCGGAATCGGCGAGATTCCAAGAAAGCGAGGTTGGGCATGGGATCTTGCTTTTGCGGCTCTCAATCTCACCGGTGTTTCTGCGTGTCTGCCTTTTTTTTAAGCTAAAACTTATTTTAAGAATGATTTTTTTCAGCGCCAAATCGTATAGTGCTGAATTTAAACATATCAGCGCTAAATTGCACGACGCTAAATACACGTCAGCACACCGACTCATCCTCCTATCTGCGGTGGCACGGCATTCAGCGTCAGTTGACGTGGGATTTGGCGCTGAACAAAAGGATCATTTCTGAAATAAGTTTGGGCCACTGTTTATTTGTAAGGCCCCGTTTAGTTTCCCAAATTTTTTTCCCAAAAACATCACATCGAATCTTTGAACACATGTATGAAGCACTAAATATAGATAAATAAAAAAAACTAATTGCACAGTTAAGAAGGAAATCACGAGACGAATCTTTTAAGTCTAATTAGTCCATGAAATTAGTCTAGTGGTTTTTAGGCGAGTTATGAAATTAGTTTTTTTATTCGTGTTCAAAAAACCCTTCTAACATCCGGTCAAACATCCGATGTGATATCAAAAAATTTTCTTTTCACGAACTAAACGTACCCTAAATTTAGTTCTTGTAAAGGGTCATTGTCAAAATCTGTGTGTCTGCCGCGTTGCACTTCCAAAAGGGCAGAAAGGCGAGAGAGAAGTCAGAGAACTTGGGACAGGTGGGCGAGACCGAGACCTGCCGCTGCTGGCACCCGTGGCCCCGTGTGGGCAATGGAAAGGCAGGCAGACAGCGCAGCGTAGGCACGCATGCGCGCGCGTGCCGGATCGCCATCGATCGATCGGAAGAAGCGAAGCTTTCTCGCTCGGCGCCGCCCAGGGAGTTTGTTCACCGACAGCATCATGTATGCGCCACAATAGCGGAGGACGGCGGCGCCCTGCCTGGCGGAGAGGCCCGGCCGGGCGTGGTTCTATGGGTGCGTGCTCTTGGTAGTGGCCTGCCTGGCCTGCACTTCACACTGTACGTTTGATTTTTGGTTCCCTTGCGAGGTGGCAAAAGATAGGTCCAGCTTGTTCAGGTCGTTCTCGTTCGTTTGAAGGATCACACAAGCCATTAAGGCATGAGCTTAAACATTGACCGATATTTTTGTTGGAGTATGACAAATAGTCAAACATCACGTTAGAAGCCAATAGCATCATATATTGAAAAATGAAGGAAGTACAAAATTGTTTAGAGAGTGTGCTCTATAATAGTTGAGATGATAAAGGCTCCCATCGGATGGCCTAATCAGCCAAAAAAAAAGCTAAAATTTGAATTTTCAAGCTTAATTTTGAGATTGATTTTGAGATATTTTCAACATAGTTTCTTTTTCAACATTGGCTTTCAAGTCACCAAGAACACATTTATAAAAATTTTACCTACAAATTCATTTTTATTTTCTAATAAGCCGTTTTGACTTATTAGGAAATAAGCCAAACGATGGGGACTAAAGGATCTAATTATTAATAGAAAATATTTTTTATTACTGTTGCTTTATTTTTCTCCTATCATTATGCAACCAAGTTTACATTTTATAAAATTTAAGAGTTGTTGTTTTTTTTGATAATGGAATATAATATCCCGGTCTTTGCTCAAAAAGAACTACAACCAATTATTACAAAGATCCACTCCAGAAGAGAGTGTAGTTCAAGACAAGTTGAACACACCAAACAAGAGAAGAGAGGACCTAAACTGAGAAAAGCAAAATAAAATGTGGAGCTAGAAGGCCTCGTCAAGGCCTAAGACTGAAGTTCGAAGCCAATGCATAGACCAATGACAATATCCTTGCACGAAAAGGTTTCTCCAAAGCGGTGCCCCCAAGGAGGATGCGACGTGGATCGCCGCCACCGCTCGTTCGGAACCGAAGCAAGGTTTTCACCCAGAGAATATGGTAGGGAAAGGAAAGGGGTATGCTAAAACAACACCTCCAAGAAGTGGAACGACGCCAAACGGCGTCGCCGTTGTCAGCCAGCCAAATAGCTCGGCAAGGCTTTCGCCCGCGATTCCCTGTCCAAACCCACACCACCAATCCGCACAAGAAGGATCATCTTCGGTCAACAACATTGTCCTTTCAGCGATTCGGCCAAGGCCACCGCCCACAGTTGTTCCCGCCGTCCACGGCGCGCCCGCACCCGAACTCCTCCTTCCCCGCTGCCAGACCCCTTCCCCGCCTCCACATACCGCCGCCGCCGACGACGCACCATCAGCCGGATGATGGCCTTCAACCATCGCCGCCATAGGTACCATTGTCGACAGCCACCACCGCCACTGCCACAGCCACCACCGTCGCCAGCCACCACCGTCAGCCACCATCGCCACCGCCACCGCCACCGCCACGGACATCCCCGTCCAGCCACCACCGTCCAGCCGCCACCGTCAGCTACCACCGTCGCTAGCCAGCGCCGCCAGACGCCAGCTGTCCAGATCCGGCCGGGGTGGCACGGATTAGAGGTGTAGCGCGAAGCACGGGTCGCCGGCATCATGGAGGAAGGCGTCACGGGCACGGCGTTCACAGCAGGAACATTGACGAGGGCGCCGCGCCTCCCTCGTGGTGGCGAGGTTCTTGACGAGGGCCGGCGTCGCGGCACGCACCGCAGTCCGCCGTCGTCGTCGCCAACTTCGTCGCCGCCACATCCGCCACCATCGCCGCTGCTAGCCACCTCCCTGCCAGGTCCGCGGAGCAGCGCCGGCGACGACCGAGCCCATCGCCGATCACCCCGGCCAAGCGGGGAGACCAGATCTGGTGACGCCGTCGCCCGTCGCTGGAGCCGCGGAGAACCGACACCGTAGCGCCCCACCGCCGTGCCCAACTCCGCGCCATCGCCGCGCCGTCCCCGTCGCCACGATCTCGCCGTCCCGCCGCCATCGTCGCCACGCCCGCGCCAGAGCGAGGTGGAGCCGAGGAGGATGGCCCCGCCGCCGCCATCCCAACGCGTCGCCCGGCTTTGCCGGCGACGAGCTCCGGCGGCGGCGAAGCATGGAGGAGGGAGGAGGAGGGGCGGCAGCGGCGGCTAGGGTTTCGGCCCCTAGGGTGGCACAATTTGATGGTAATCTGAATCTCTCTCCAAACAAATAGTAGAAAATAAAAGAAAAAGAAGTTGTTGTTGAGTTGTTGTTAACCAGAGCAATGCCCCTACTCTCTCTCCCTTCTACCCAGCAAACTATTGGCTCCTCTCAATATCGCACGAAGGGGGCAACAACAGTTTTCTGCCAAAAAAGAAAAACTTAAAAGTTAGTGTTGGTTAAAGAAAAAAAAGGGTTACATCGATCACGTGATTTATTATATGTTGAAATTATAGGCATATAATGATTTAATCTATTCCATAAATAA